TCTCATAACTCCATGTCAACTTAAAAGATCGCTTCATAAATATACCAGCTGTTGGTTTTTTTCCCAATATCCAAGGTATCAAGATAAATAAAATGTTTGGCGCATTTGGGCCAAAATGGTGTTAAGGTTGTTTTTCAAGCTCCTAGCTTCGCCCTGCTGTCGTCTTATCTTAAATAAGATTAGTGATAGCACGTGGTCCGTTGTACAGGTCACAGGTCACAAATCAGGTGTTAATTATAAGCAATGTCGGCCTCAGAGAGTAGCGCATTTTGGTGACTCTTAAGGCAAGTGACTTTGTTCGAAATGTTCATCTGTTCACCAAACAGTAAATATGGTGCTCGGGGGATGAGATGGAAGTGTGACTGTTTTCTTCCTTAAGCCTGACAATGGTTGTATACTCCCCGGGGAGCTGAGAATGAAACTCGAGTGCACACTGATCTAATGACCGGGGTAATAATGTTAGCGCGTTGAGCATACACAAAGTGGATGGAGGCTAGTAATATAAGTACCCACATATAGAGGCTAGCAATATAAGTACCCACATATAGAGGCTAGCAATAGAAGTACCCACATATAGAGGCTAGCGCAATATAAGTACCCACATATAGAGGCTAGCAATGTAAGTACCCACATATAGAGGCTAGCAATAGAAGTACCCACATATAGAGGCTAGCGCAATATAAGTACCCACATATAGAGGCTAGCAATATAAGTACCCACATATAGAGGCTAGCAATAGAAGTACCCACATATAGAGGCTAGCAATATAAGTACCCACATATAGAGGCTAGCAATGTAAGTACCCACATATAGAGGCTAGCAATAGAAGTACCCACATATAGAGGCTAGCAATATAAGTACCCACATATAGAGGCTAGCAATAGAAGTACCCACATATAGAGGCTAGCGCAATATAAGTACCCACATATAGAGGCTAGCAATATAAGTACCCACATATAGAGGCTAGCAATAGAAGTACCCACATATAGAGGCTAGCAATATAAGTACCCACATATAGAGGCTAGCGCAATATAAGTACCCCCATATGGAGGCTAGCAACATAAGTACCCACATATAGAGGCAGGCAATATAAGTACCCACATAGAGTGGCTAGCAATATAAGTACCCACATAATGAGGCTACAAATATCATTACCCACATATGGAGGCTAACGCAATATAAGTACCCACATACAGAGACTAGCGTAATATAAGTACCCACATTAATATTATTATTTATCTGTACTCCTTTCTACCAGTAGATGGTATTCTATTAGCAGATGTTCTCTAGTAGTAGACTGTTCTCTACTACTATGGGTCGCTAGAAGAAGACTGCTCTCTACCAGTCGATGTTCTCTGCTAGTAGATTCTCTCTAACCGTAGATGCTTCTCTACTAGCAGATGGTTCTCTAACCCGTGGAGACCGCCTCCGTGGTCTTGTGGTAGAGCGTCCGCCCGGAGAGCGGAAGGTCCAGGGTTCGATCCCGGTCCGCGTCATACAAAAAGACGTTAAAAGATTGTACTTGTTGTTACCCTGTCTGGCGCTCGGCATTAAGGGGCTAAAACAAGGACTGGTCGGCTCGGAGTCAGTATACTGTGTCTGAGTGGGGTATTCATGTTAAACTGCGGCATGGTATCTCAGTGAGCTAGCACTATAAATCGGCATCAGTCCGGACTAGTACAAGCAGCCACACACACACATACACGTGCATGCACGTCGCTATATAAGTGCAATAATCTTGGACGCGACGTTAAACCCAATTTCACCTCACCTCACCTAACCCGTGGATGCTCTCTACTAGTAGATGGTTCTCTAACCGTAGATGCTTTCTACTAGGAGATGGTTCTCTAACCGTGGATGCTCCCTAATAGCAGATGGTTCTCTAACCGTGGATGCTCCCTACTAGCATATGGTTCTCTAACCATGGATGCTCTCTACTGGCAGATGATTCTCTAACCGTGGATGCTCTCTACTAGTAACTAGTAGATGGTTCTCTAACCGTGGATGCTCTCTACTAGTAGATGATTCTCTAACCGTGGATGCTCTCTACTAGCAGATGATTCTCTAACCGTGGATGCTCTCTACTAGTAACTAGTGGATGGTTCTCTAACCGTGGATGCTCTTTACTAGTAGATGGTTCTCTAACCGTGGATGCTCCCTACTAGCAGATGGTTCTCTAACCGTGGATGCTCTCTACTAGTAACTAGTAGATGGTTCTCTAACCGTGGATGCTCTCTACTAGTAGATGATTCTCTAACCGTGGATGCTCTCTACTAGCAGATGATTCTCTAACCGTGGATGCTCTCTACTAGTAACTAGTGGATGGTTCTCTAACCGTGGATGCTCTTTACTAGTAGATGGTTCTCTAACTGTGGATGCTCCCTACTAGCAGATGGTTCTCTAACCGTGGATGCTCTCTACTAGTAACTAGTAGATGGTTCTCTAACCGTGGATGCTCTCTACTGGCAGATGGTTCTCTAACCGTGGATGCTCTCTACTAGTAACTAGTAGATGGTTCTCTAACCGTGGATGCTCTCTACTGGCAGATGGTTCTCTTACTGAAGATGCTCCCTACTGGCAGATGGTTCTCTAACCGTGGATGCTCCCTACTGGCTGATGGTTCTCCAACCGTAGATGCTCCCTACTGGCAGATGGTTCTCCAACCGTAGATGCTCCCTACTAGTAGATGGTTCTCAAACCGTAGATGCTCCCTACTGGCAGATGGTTCTCTAACCATAGATGCTCCGTATAAGCAGATGGTTCTCCAACCGTAGATGCTCTCTACTTGCAGATGGTTCTCTAACCGTAGATGCTCCCTACTGGCAGATGGTTCTCTAACCGTGGATGCTCTCTACCAGCAGATGGTTCTCCAACCGTGGATGCTCTCTACTGGCAGACGGTTCTCTTACTGTAGATGCTCCCTACTGGCAGATGGTTCTCTAACCGTGGATGCTCCCTACTGGCAGATGGTTCTCCAACCGTAGATGCTCCCTACTGGCAGATGGTTCTCCAACCGTAGATGCTCCCTACTAGTAGATGGTTCTCCAACCGTAGATGCTCCCTACTGGCAGATGGTTTTCTAACCATAGATGCTCCGTATTAGCAGATGGTTCTCCAACCGTAGATGCTCTCTACTTGCAGATGGTTCTCTAACCGTAGATGCTCCCTACTGGCAGATGGTTCTCTAACCGTGGATGCTCCCTACTGGCAGATGGTTCTCCAACCGTAGATGCTCCCTACTGGCAGATGGTTCTCCAACCGTAGATGCTCCCTACTAGTAGATGGTTCTCAAACCGTAGACGCTCCCTACTGGCAGATGGTTCTCTAACCATAGATGCTCCGTATTAGCAGATGGTTCTCCAACCGTAGATGCTCTCTACTGGCAGATGGTTCTCTAACCGTAGATGCTCTCTACTTGCAGAAAGTTCTCTAACCGTAGATGCTCTCTACTGGCAGATGGTTCTCTAACCATAGATGCTCCCTACTTGCAGATGGTTCTCTAACCATGGATTCTCCCTACTAGCAGATGTTTCTCTAACCGTGGATGCTCTCTACTAGTAACTAGTAGATGGTTCTCTAACCGTGGATGCTCTCTACTGGCAGATGGTTCTCTAACCGTAGATGCTCTCTACTGGCAGATGGTTCTCTTACCATGGATGCTCCCTACTGGCAGATGGTTCTCTAACCGTGGATGCTCTCTACTAGTAGATGGTTCTCCAACCGTAGATGCTCTCTACTGGCAGATGGTTTTCCAACCGTGGATGCTCTCTACTGGCAGATGGTTCTCTAACCGTGGATGCTCTCTACTGGCAGATGGTTCTCTTACCGTGGATGCTCCCTACTGGCAGATGGTTCTCTAACCGTGGATGCTCTCTACTAGCAGATGGTTCTCTAACTGTAGATGCTCTCTACTAGCAGATGGTTCTCTATCAGTGGATGCTCTCTACTAGTAGATGGTTCTCCAACCGTAGATGCTCTCTACTGGCAGATGATTCTCTAACCGTAGATACTCCATACTGGCAGATTGTTCTCTAACCACTACTGGTCAATCAATACAAGCCTTCTTGTCAGTAGCCATCCACTACTGGACAGTCAATACAACAAACCTTCTTGTCAGTAGCCATCCAGTACTGGACAGTCAATACAAGAAACCTTCTTGTCAGTAGCCATCCAGTCATGGACAGTCAATACAACAAACCTTCTTGTCAGTAGCAATCCATCACTGGACAGTTAATGCAACAAGCTTTCTTGTCAGTTGCCATCCACTATTGGACATTCAATACAACACACCTTCTTGTCAGTAGCAATCCACTACTGGACAGTCAATACAACAACTCTTCTTATCAGTAGCCATCAATCACTGGACAGTTAATGCAACAAACCTTCTTGTCAGTAGCCATCCAGTACTGGACAGTCAATACAACAAACCTTCTTGTCAGTAGCCATCCACTACTGGACAGTCAATACAACAAACCTTCTTGTCAGTAGCCATCCAGTCCTGGACTGTCAATACAACAAACCTTCTTGTCAGTAGCAATCAATCACTGGACAGTTAATACAACAAACCTTCTTGTCAGTAGCCATCCAGTCCTGGACAGTCAATACAACAAACCTTCTTGTCAGTAGCAATCAATCACTGGACAGTCAATACAACAAACCTTCTTGTCAGTAGCAATCAATCACTGGACAGTTAATGCAACAAGCCTTCTTGTCAGTAGCCATCCACTATTGGACAGTCAATACAACAAACCTTCTTGTCAGTAGCAATCCACTACTGGACAGTCAATACAACAAACCTTCTTGTCAGTAGTAATCCACTACTGGACAGTCAATACAACAAACCTTCTTGTCAGTAGCCATCCACTACTGGACAGTCAATACAAATAGCCATCTTTGGGAAGTAAATGGAGTAAGCTGTACTTACATAACATGCAACATTTCTTTCAGAGTGTCCTAAGAGTGGTTCCCCATATTTTTCCTCCAAAATCAAACACACACGATAGAATTGATAGTTTATTTACGTAACAATCCATCAGTCCATCAAGTTCTTCAATATTTGTATGACTACCACAGGGTCAGCGCGGTGCTCCATGTTCCTCTGCACGTGGTTCACCAATCTCCTGATGGCCTTATAGTTCCCACGCTTGTACTCCTCCACCTGAAATGGTTAAGGCTAAAGGTACCACAACATCATGGATTATTCAGGCCTCTCGCCACTACAAATCAAAGGTATCACAAGGTTGCTATTGGCCTACTAGATCTGCATGATTTAAGGCTGATTGAGTGAGGTTCATGTAATGCCACTTTGAACGGTATTCCAATTATATCACGGTGTTGTATGGGAGGAAGGTCTTGAGGAAGGGATGTACGTCGTAGATGTTTACCACTTTGGTGAAACCAATGAGCATGGGTATGGTGCTGACAAACCTAGTCACAATGATGTCAGGGAGATCCATGATTTGAACCAATATCATACGTTTCTAGCACATCAGAGGGACACAAATCTGCCCAGTGAAATTGATGAGCCTTTAATGACTTGGTGACCCACTCCCCTACATCATTTAAGTAATCAGGAAAACCTTTTGAAATTTGTTATGGAAGGTATCAGACAATTCATATCAAAGGCATTAGGCATTGTTTGCTTCAATACTTCCATGTCTGCCTCACACTAAAGGGAGAGACAGTACAAATGTGGAAAATTCTTCTTGGATCATTTAATTGTTCACAGATTTTTCTCTTGAAGTTGGAGAATCAGTCATTTTATTCCCATTCTCCATACCTCTGGCCATAAAACAACATAGGGCAGAGTCTACTTCCTGATGTAGACAAACATTTTCTATGGCGACTATGGTCTTGCATCGCAGCAAGGTAATACTTTAGTGCCTGACTCGGCATAACAGTCTGTCAAAAGGGTTGACACTTCAGCCTGGAGCGGAAAGGGAGTTTTGACGATGACCTGACAGGTATAACCTACAGTATGACCTGACGGGCCTCTTGCCTTGGTCTGACTTTTGGCAATGTTTGACTTGAATCCAGTGTGTGAGTAAGTGACGAGAAGTCAATGGCGTGGAGCTCTGACACTCTAGCAGCTGTTAGAAAGCAAAAAGGCAGTCTTCATAAGAGTCTTGCATAGGCTCAGATGGTACTTCTATAGAAGCAGACACAACGATGGACAAATTCCACTTGGGGAAAGTGTTGGGCACTTTGACATCTTCCAGTTGAAATGACTGAATAAGTTGAATTAGAGCTGGATGGGACCTGATGGAGAGCGGGGTTCCTGATAATTATTCACCAGCAGGAGTACATACTCGTCATTATTTCAAGACAGGAGTACTGGCAAAACCAAAAATATTCAGTATTTAAGAGCAGAATTATTTGGTCAATTCAAATTTGAAATTGAATTTCCTGTTCTAATAGGCAATGTTTTATATGCAGAGATTGAGATTACAAGAAAATATGCTGCTTGAAATCAGAAAATAATTTTGGGGAAATATGTCTATAAATTAACGTTATGCCGTACATGTATGCTGTGATAGGGATTTGATACGTTTTCTCAATTATCCCCCACCGTATCGTGCATATTTTCATCCGTACATACGCTGATACAGCCTTTACCTGGAGCCCTGGGAGAGCCTATCATGCTGGAGGACCAATGCTAAGACTAACCTGTTCTCCTGTCCACCATTCGGAGCATTATCATTCGGACTGCTCCGAGGTGTGACTAGCTGAGTCATTTGACAACCCTGCGGAGTGGAATACGCCCCTAGGCCTTGTTCAGATGCAAGATTTGATGGCTGACCGTCTTTCAGTGACAAGAGGGACACGATCTCATCGCACCCTAAGTCCATTCCACCTGACCCCAGCTTTTAAGGCACCAAGATGTAGAAGGGATGATTTTTGCATTCATGCCTTTGGGGTAGCAGACCAAACTGATTACCATTGAGATCAGTTCGCATTCATAGAAACGGAAATCAGGCGGTCCCAAACACCCTTGTCGGCTTTAGCTTCTTTGTCTCCTGCTATGGACCAGGATCTTTCTGAGACCAATGCCAATAGATAGATCATTTCCAGACGGCGATAGAATTCCAACAAAGGCAGATTGATCATATGCGTAATCACCTTGAGGCGGGTTTAGCCGAGATAAATGCCACCCGCCGTCTGGGGTATCTGACCAATTGGGACTGAATTTAAGCCCCGGCTGCTTCGTCAGCCATAGTCATGATAATTGGCCTCAACTTTATTCAATGGCCAAATAACTGACATGCATAGCAAAGTCTCGAACATAGCCCAAGACGAGACAGCTCTCAAGGCTCTGGAACATGTATCGAAGGAACCTTGTCAAACGTGCGTGGAAGTCAGGGAATTATCGATCCCTGAAGGACCAGACCAACGATCAGCATTCCTTTCATGGCAAAGGAGAGGCAGGGGCAGAGGCCAAGGCTTCTGTCAATCCCATAGGGGGTCGTTCCCAGGGTAGGAGCGGGGACTGGAGGGGGAAACATTGACCAAGTGGACAAGCAGTAGGTGGGAGACTATGGCCGGTTTTAGAGTGGTTTCAGTTGAGACCGATTGTAAGGAAAAGGCTCAAGATCCCAGTAAAGCCGCGCCTCAATTCTTGACCGAGTATCTCCTACACTTGCGTACCAAACAACATTTGAAGGGTAGTACCATCTCTACGTTTATGGTAGCTGTAAGTTCAGTGTTGGCAGTACCTGAGGATCGGAAAATGACCAAGATTCATGAACTGCAAGCTATTTTGCTCAATTAGGCTTGAGGATCAGAAGGCCAAATTAGTCCCCCTGCGTGGGATTTGAATGTGGTACTTCAGTGTTTGCGTGGAACTTTATTTTAGCCTCTCACACAACATCATTTTTCAACCTCACTAAGAAGACAATTTTTGTCTTGGCACTAGCCATAGCGGAACGGGTGAGCGAGATTCATGCGCTCGATATCACTCGTGTACGCTTTGTGGGTTACACACAGAGCTGCCCGGTGCCTGCACTATGAGTTTTCCTCTGCCGTGCCAAGATTTGGAGTGGTTTGTGGAAACGATTGTTTATCGCTGTTTCGTATACTTCCACAACTAAAGTCAGCTGCAATACCATTTCCTTATAGTTGCGAGCTATCATCCTTCAAACTTATGGATTGCTAATCTTGAGTCACTGAGAGCTAATAACCCCAAAGGAGATTCAGGCGGTTGCCTCAACGATGTCTCTACACACTAATTTTTCGGAAGGATGTTATTGGAGGCCGCACTTGGTCTTTGCTAGTCACTACCTGAGGGACAAGGCTTTTGAAGATGGCATGGGAATTCATAGTTTTGGACAGCTGGTTGTAGCACAGCAGGTACCCGATCCATGACGCCATAAAAACAATTGAATCTTGTCCAGAGCCAGTCTTACCCTTCCTGCATATATGCTAACATGGCTTGGTAATCCAGTTTCTCTACCCTAGTGCACGCTATTGTCTTTTGCTGTTTGTTAACCCAGACGTACTCATACTCTCGTTACCTTTCCATGGACAGGATTGCACAGAAGAATTGCGCCATGCGGCTGACACAACTCTTCGTCGGGAGAGTTTTTATTTAGTACACATTTGAAGGTATTCCCATCTCCTTGCCATCAGATACAGATGCATTACGAAGTAATGCAGGAAAAAAATAATCTAGTAAAATCTAGATATTTCTTATATTTGTATACTTATCCTACATTACTACGTCTAAGGGCCCACCCGTCGCAGACCTGCCCCCCCACAATATCTTCAGACATTTTATGTGTGACCAACAGTAACATGAAGCAATCAGGCGTCTACTACTTCCGGTATGACGTGACAGTTAGTGACTGGGAGGGTCATACTTCTGAAGGGAACAACATTTTTCTTTCTTCAGTAGGATCAATCACAGCTTCACTGCCGTCAAAAGGTAAGCAGTGAATGCATTAAGGAGTAATGAAGGGTAAGTTCAAAAATAAGAATTACCAAATAGATTTGTCTTTTTGAAATATGAAAATTAATTTCAAGAGTGATTTAACCCAAAAAACTTGTGCAAGTGTAGACTGAAAACATTCAGGTGTTGTAACTTGTCCACAGTGGAAAGAAGTGACCATTCCCTAGGTGTGGTTGGTATGCATGACAGTGAAGGGGACTTCCAGGGATGTTAGCCAAAGTCCATGATGTAATAGAGATAGGGTATTCAAAGGAATTACAGGAAGGAGGAGCGTGTCTGGTAACTTTGGAACTCCAGTTGGACTGTTATCGACCTTCCTCCTTGGCTGAGACTAATGAGAACTATGGGAAGAGATGAGGCTCACAGATCGTGGATGCTGGTGCACAGCTTCTTCACATGCAGGTGCCAGTCTGTCCACGGCCTGTATCTGGAACCAGTCATTGGCTGTCACAATCACCCGAGGGGTGCTATCAGGATTCAGACACATCTCTGCCAACACCTGTTGAAGTAGATGAAATACACAACTCTATACTTGAGCTGGACACAATATTTGTAATTATGATTTAGGCCTGTATTGCTCATGTGATGATCTGGTCACACTTTTATTAAACATCCAAAAGTAACAACATTCACATGTAAACATTTGTACCACTGCTCCTTAATACTTATATTTTTCAGAGGTGTTTGCAGCAAGTGTTTTTTTCGTTCTTGTTTAAAATGTCCCTTTTGGATTCTTCAAAAGTTTTAAGGAAACAAAGATTAACCAGGCATTTTATAAAAGAAGGCAGTTATTCCAGGAATGAGTTCATTCCAGGTTTGAGTGATTGTTGCGGGAGGGCAGACAGAGGACCTGACTTTAGACACAGCAGTCATTAAAGACATCGGTACTGGATGTTATTGCCAGGAAAACAAAAGAATATATTGTCAACAACATAAGAGACCTTTACAGTAAGCACCACGGAACGTACATACCATTAGAGTTTTCGCTTTTTTGTCTACAAGGATGAGGTCAGGGAACCATGAGTAACAGCTGACATTGTTAACAGTAATTTGGGCAAACTTGTGTAGGAACTGATGAAGAGATTGCAGCAACTCACCAATACTTACAGCAAACACGGTCAGGCTGCCGCTAGTAATGCCTTGAACAAATGTTAGTTGACAGAGAATGGATGCATGTATCATAAAAACCATCACTGTGAACTTTGCATCATAACTCTTGTAAGTTGTATACACGTAATTTGGGAGAAAATGGGTCCAGCCTAGTTTACGAGACTACACATGGAAATCCCTATCTCAGCTAATAAAACAATGCCCAGCAGATGAAGACATACAACTGAAATGGCAAACCATCATGTCCAGTGAAGTTCACATTTTCACTGACCAAGTTAGTAATCTCCTGTTCGTTCAACTGAAGAGATACAATGTAGTTTGCGACTGCGAAATAGCAATTTTACAGAAATTTACACAAAAACTGGTGTTTACTGGGAAACGGAAACCACAAGCCTCAATAGTTGAAGAGGTCTGCCATTGGTTGTGCTGATGACTCCTACAGTGACCTGACATGGTCACAGCATTTGTTCACCACACTGCAATATGGCTGCTATCTCACTTGCACCAACTGTAGTTAAGCCAGTTAAGCATTATCATCAATACAAACCTTCCTAACGATGTCAAAGGACACTTCTCTTCTCTGAAACATATCGTACAACTCTCCAAACTGTTCTGTGGAAATGGGGCTGGAAGAACAGCAGAGCACTTCATGAGAAACAGTTCTGTCACATGTCCTTTGTTACAAGTCTTCCAATCTAAAAACTACAAAACTAAATCATTACCTGTATTGTTGAATAAATTAGAAAACAGATATCACATCAAGATCACGCGGGGCTAAGTCTGGGCTGTAGGGTGGGTGATTTAACTGTACAGCCCAGACTTAGCCCCCCGTGACCATTTCCTGTTCCGGCAAATGAAATCTGCCCTACGTGGAAGACGCTTTCAGGATGACAAGGACATAAAGGCTGCCACAGAGGCGTGGTTAGAGGGCCAATCTGCCAATTTCTATAAATGTGGTATTAAAAGCTTGATGGACAAATGGAATAAGTGTATTGAGGTGAATGAAGATTATATTGATAAATAAAAGTGCAAAAGATATTCTGTGTTTTGGTCTTATATTGAAGTTGCAAAACATATTGAATGCCCCTCGTATTTCAATCTGACATCATCTAAGTCATAACAAAATCAAACTGACTATGTTCTGGGACTGATATAAAGTTAGTGCGCAAAGAGAACCAACAAGTGGCAAATCTGATTGCTCGTATCATGCGACAATCTCAGTTCTGATAGTGTGCCAGCATGATTCAGTCATCTGAAGACATGGTCAATGAAATACATTAATGGGGGTACACATGTACTTGCTGAAAGCCTTCAGATGTGCTATTAATCACAGTGACTATTGCCTACCTTCAGGTGTGCTCTTAATGACAGTGACTGCTGGCTACCTTCAGGTGTGCTATTAATCACAGTGACTACTGGCTACCTTCAGGTGTGCTATTAATCACAGTGACTGCTGGCTACCTTCAGGTGTGCTATTAATCACAGTGACTGCTGGCTACCTTCAGGTGTGCTATTAATCACAGTGACTGCTGGCTACCTTCAGGTGTGCTATTAATCACAGTGACTGCTGGCTACCTTCAGGTGTGCTATTAATCACAGTGACTGCTGGCTACCTTCAGGTGTGTTATTAATCACAGTGATTGCTGGCTACCTTCAGGTGTGCTATTAATCACATTGACTACTGGCTACCTCCAGGTGCGCTATTAATCACAGTGACTACTGGCTACCTTCAGGTGTGCTATTAATCACAGTGACTACTGGCTACCTTCAGGTGTGCTATTAATCACAGTGACTGCTGGCTACCTTCAGGTGTGCTATTAATCACAGTGACTGCTGGCTACCTTCAGGTGTGCTATTAATCACAGTGACTACTGGCTACCTTCAAGTGCTATTAATCACAGTGACTGCTGGCTACCTTCAGGTGTGTTATTAATGACAGTGACTGCTGGCTACCTTCAGGTGTGTTATTAATGACAGTGACTACTGGCTACCTTCAGGTGTGCTAATGACAGTGACTACTGGCTACCTTCAGGTGTGTTATTAATCACAGTGACAACTTGCTACCTGTCAGGGAAGGTCAGTGAGAGTGAGTTGAGCTGCCCGAGCAGTTCATTGACCAGGAGGTTGGCCACAGACTTGGCATCTCTATTCTTCTCCCTCATCACAGTCTCAAAGTAGGGCACAATCCTTTCATTCTGCAACCAATGACGGCAGCAGTAACAGCTACTGATAAATCCAGTAACTATGTCTGACAGGCTGACAGGTACACAACCGACCTGTTCCAAAAGCACTACAATGTTTCCAGCTTGTGAATGCTTCAAATAACGCTGTACTACTATAATTACCATGACTCCCCTCACAATCCTATTCTGCAACTGTCAGGTTGTTCACAATCTGTTAAAACATAATCTGCTATCACGTGTAAATAGTGTACATACATGTATTGTATATTACATACTTTATAGGGCTGGGACGGGTAACTCGGGTACCTGGGTCGGGTGGGTACTGAGTAGGACTACCCTGACCCGTGGTTAGTCACGTGATTATATTGTTTAATGGCAAAGAGTATCTAGAACTCTATGGCTACACTATAAGTGATAAATGTTCACATTTCTTTCTGACTTTGCACCCATTTCTTCTGACTTTATATGCTTGCATAATGTTAAAACATCAATCAACTTTAGTGTATGCATGGCCAGATCGGTTTATAGGTGTATCTAAATTTATTTTGACAGAAGTACGGTCAATCTATTCCGAATCGTGCTTTACCTATCTCTTGAGACCTACAGCGGGTACCCAGATAGGGTCGGGTAATGAGGGTGTGGGTACCCGGGTAGTAAATTTGGACTCATCCCAGCCCTAGTACCTTACATGACATTTTCTGAAGCACATTACAAATACACTTGTTCACCACAACAGGTGATGTAATTACTGGTGGAGACAGATCTCCAGCTGTCGCTGTAACATGCATGTTGTAAACAGATCCAGCACAAGGACAACATCCCTCTCTTCAAGGAATCATACTTGTATGCTAACATTCTATTGAGAATTGTAGACATGATAATGCTGAAAACGTCTCCATCAATCAATGAGTCAAGGTTGCAGATAACAGACACTACTACTAGTACTACAAAGTGCCCGTAGCATGAAACAACGAGCCTCTACCTGCCAAACCCAAGCATATGCACTTTCCATTAAATACATTCAAACACTTTTTCAAATCTGTTGAGTATCTTGTTGCATGATCTTGACCTTTGCCTACTTACAATGAGAGTAAGGACAACAGACAGAGAGAGGCCATATTGCTCCTGTAGACGTGCGCGGGTCTCAGTGGGGAGTTGGGGCATGGAGGCCTGTATTTGGTCTATGACAAGGGCATCCTCCAGCCCGGCTTGGCCTGTGACGGTCGTGCACACATGAAGGGGAGGCAGGTTGGGCTCTGGCATGAAGCGGTAGTCAATCAGTCTCTCTTTATCTCTCATGGCAATCGTCTTTCTGCGTCAACATAATGTTGAGAAAACACTGCAGCTGTCAACACGACAAACCAGGGAGTAATATAATCAAGGCCAGGGGACTGACTCTCTGTGACAAATCTTGGGTATTCCATGCCTTATACTTATTATAGATGGGGAATTCCTTGTTTCAAGCAGAACATTCAGCTTGTGTGAAGAAATGGACTGTCTGAACATTGCCTGTAATTCTTATCAGATCAGGAACATCAACTAAATCTTACATTCAGCGTTATCACTATCCCCCACCATGAGGCACATTAGAACTTTGTTTGTTCTTATAGTAGTGAACATAAACTATCAAAAGAAGAGTCCCATAAATCCAATAGAAGAGGTAGGCACATGGGCCACTGTATGTCATCAGAAAAATTGATTAAATGTGAAATCAATACACACAAAAGGCTCCTCTGAAAATAATAACTCAGTCTGGAATTTCTGGACTATTACAAGTTATGTCCCTTCTATGTCCCTCCTATTGACCAATCCGATTCCACCACTCATATCACTTGCATTGCTTCAAACAAATGGCGGCTTCCAGTCAAGACGATCTGATCGATAATCACAAATTTCTTCCTTCAGCATGTGCAGCACAGTGAGTGAGTGAGTGAGTGAGTGAGTGAGTGAGGTGAGTGAGGTGAGTGAGTGAGTGAGTGAGTGAGTGAGTGAGAGATTTATGATCCGATAGGATGAATTGGTTGCCAGATCACTTCAGATAATAGAAGTGAACAATAATAAATACAAGAAATGGTTCTCAGGCAATGGTTTTTCAAAATATAGTGTGAGCAGGTGCTGTCTTTTTTTGTTGTTGTTGTTGTTGTTCAAACTAGTATGTAACAAGATGAACAGTTGTGTAACCAAATAAAAAATTGTGTACAATCAACCTGAGAAAAGGGCCTCCCTACATAAATGTATTCCTTGATGAGTAAAATAATCAAATACAGTATATGACTACTGTTGGATTTGGAATATTTAAGCATTTTTAGTTTTTTTTAAAAATGGATATAAAAAACAACAACATGCAGCTGACTTTGTGATGATGCGGCCAGTGCCTGAGAACCAAAATTATTAATTTTTTTAGCCTCTGCACATATAAGCAGTGATTGTTGTTAAACATATGTACAACCTTCCTGCTGTGTACAAAGGAAACCTGCACAGAAACATAGCACACTGTGTAGAATGAAATCATTGAGGGAAATGGCTTGATGACTGAAGCTGAACTCCTATCATTTAGTTATCCACATGACCAGCAGACACCGCCTCACTGTTGGATTGATTACAACTGTGGAAACCCCTAAAACCCCTATGGCAGAAACTTGTGGAGGTCACACGAGGTATGGGTTGTAATCAGTAGGTCAGATGACATCACATATAACAATTATGTTGTGTATTAATGTGCCACGGTGATCATGAGAAAAGACAAATTCGATGCTAAAAAGGTGTGATTTAGGGTGTGTAAGGAACAGATTACTGCACTCATGCCTGTCAGATACCATATATCTTACAACTCATTGTTTCAAAACGTATAATCCCGACCCATTCTATTAGATATTACCCCGACCCATCTTAAATAGATGTCACCCTAATCCACACAAACAGATATCTTTCTTACCCCAACAGAACAAACATCACTCCTGCCGACCCTTACCCAGTATGCGAGTCAAATGACCTGGTTTCATTGACAATCTCACGCCCAGCTTCTAGCTCTTTGATGTGACGTTTTATTTCAAAGTCTGAAAAGATAAAATATGTTTAATATGAAGTAGTAGGGGACCTACTTATTGCTCTGATAACCCTAGTGTACACACAATGTAGCAGATGACCTACTTATAGCGTTGACGACACCCCCAGTGTATATACAATGTAGTAGATGACCTACTTATAGCTTTGGCGACACCCATAGTGCATATGTGATATAGTAGATGACCTACTTATAGCCTTGGCGACACCCCCAGTGCATATACAATGTAGTAGATGACCTACTTATAGCCTTGGCGACACCCCTAGTGCTGTTGATATTCTTCACCTCGCTCCTCACCCCAAGTGGTTGTCCAGGCTTGTGTACAGAGATGTTGGCATCGACTCGTAACGAACCCTCTACAACACATGGCACAGTGATACCAGCAGTAACAGTGTACTGGGTTATAAACATCTCTGGTATGAGACATCTCTACATGGTATGACTCGTAACGAACCCTCTACAACACATGGCATAGTGATACCAGCAGTAACAGTGTACTGGGTTATAAACATCTCTGGTATGAGACATCTCTACATGGTATGACTCGTAACGAACCCTCTACAACACATGGCATAGTGATACCAGCAGTAACAGTGTACTGGGTTATAAACATCTCTGGTATGAGACATCTCTACATGGTATGACTCGTAACGAACCCTCTACAACACATGGCATAGTGATACCAGCAGTAAAATGTACTGGGTTATAAACATCTCTGGTATGAGACATTGCTACATGGTATGACTCGTAATGAACCCTCTACAACACATGGCATAGTGATACCAGCAGTAACAGTGTACTGGGTTATAAACATCTCTGGTATGAGACATCTCTACATGGTATGACTCGTAACGAACCCTCTACAACATATGGCACAGTGATACCAGCAGTAACAGTGTACTGGGTTATAAACATCTCTGGTATGAGACATTGCTAGATGGTATGACTCATAACGAACCCTCTACAACACATGGCATAGTGATACCAGCAGTAACAGTGTACTGGGTTATAAACATCTCTGGTATGAGACATCTCTACATGGTATGACTCGTAAAGAACCCTCTACAACATATGGCACAGTGATACCAGCAGTAACAGTGTACTGGGTTATAAACATCTCTGGTATGAGACATTGCTAGATGGTATGACTCATAACGAACCCTCTACAACACATGGCATAGTGATACCAGCAGTAACAGTGTACTGGGTTATAAACATCTCTGGTATGAGACATTGCTACATGGTATGACTCGTAACGAACCCTCTACAACACATGGCACAGTGATACCAGCAGTAACAGTGTACTGGGTTATAAACATCTCTGGTATGAGACATCTCTACATGGTATGACTCGTAACGAACCCTCTACAACACATGGCATAGTGATACCAGCAGTAAAATGTACTGGGTTATAAACATCTCTGGTATGAGACATTACTACATGGTATGACTCGTAATGAACCCTCTACAACACATGGCATAGTGATACCAGCAGTAACAGTGTACTGGGTTATAAACATCTCTGGTATGAGACATTGCTACATGGTATGACTCATAACGAACCCTTTACAACACATGGCATAGTGATACCAGCAGTAACAGTGAACTGGGTTATAAACATCTCTGGTATGAGACATCTCTACATGGTATGACTCGTAACGAACCCTCTACAACAAATGGCATAGTGATACCAGCAGTAACAGTGTACTGGGTTATAAACATCTCTGGTATGAGACATCTCTACATGGTATGAATTGTAACGAACCCTCTACAACACATGGCATAGTGATACCAGCAGTAACAGTGTACTGGGTTATAAACATCTCTGGTATGAGACATCACTACATGGTATGACTCGTAGCGAACCCTCTACAACACATGGCATAGTTATACCAGCAGTAACAGTGTACTGGGTTATAAACATCTCTGGTATGAGCGGCGCTTCATGGTATGAGACATTACAACCCGACATAAGACATCACGACATGGTATGAGACATCACTTCTTGGTATGAGATATCACGACATGGTATGAGAAATCACTACATGGTATGAGACATCTCTACATGGTATGAGACATCACTACATGGTATGAGACATCACTACATGGTATGAGAGATCACTACATGGTATGAGACATCTCTACATGTTATGAGACATAAGTACATGGTATGAGAGGTCACTACATGTTATGAGACATCACTACATGGTATGAGAAATCACTACATGTTATGAGACATCTCTACATGGTATGAGACATCTCTACATGGTATGAGAGGTCACTACATGTTATGAGACATCACTACATGGTATGAGAAATCACTAAATTGTATGAGACATCACTACATGGTATGAGACATCAGTACATGGTATGAGAGATCACTACATGGTATGAGACATCTCTACATGTTATGAGACATCACTACATGGTATGAGAAATCACTACATGGTATGAGACATCTCTACATGTTATGAGACATAAGAACATGGTATGAGAGATCACTACATGTTATGAGACATCACTTCTTGGTATGAGATATCACTACATGGTATGAGACATCACTACATGGTATGAGACATCACTACATGGTATGCGACATCAGTACATGGTATGAGAGATCACTACATGGTATGAGACATCTCTACATGTTATGAGACATAAGTACATGGTATAAGACATCACTTCATGGAATGAGACATCACTGTTTGGTATGAGACATCACTGCATGGTATGAGACATCACTGCATGGTATGAGACATCACTACATGGTATGAGACTTCTCTACATGTTATGAGACATCACTTCATGGAATGAGACATCACTGTTAGGTATGAGACATCACTGCATGGTATGAGACATCTCTACATGGTATGAGACATCACTACATGGTATGAGACATCACTTCATGGAATGAGACATCACTGTTTGGTATGAGACATCACTGCATGGTATGAGACATCACTACACGGTATGAGACATCACTACACGGTATGAGACATCACTGCATGGTATGAGACATCACTACATGGTATGAGACATCACTACATGGTATGAGACATATCTACATGTTATGAGACATCACTGCATGGTATGAGACATTACTATATGACAACATCCCCCCTACCTGCCATCTTGCCGTCACAGGTCCCCAGGGTCTGCAGTATCAACTGGAGCTCCTTCACAAATGCTGCAGCATCATCTCCGTCGGTGAAGTCTGGCTCTGTCACAATCTCCATCAGCCCAACACCTGCAGGTGTAATTCTCTATGCATTAATACGGGCAGCCACTGTGACAATGTACCTGCACAGTTGACAAGACAGACCTGTCTTTATATTGATATAAAACAATGTGTCTTTGTGTACCTGCTCGGTTGAGGTCGATGAGACTGATGTGACCTGCGGGGTCGTGGAGACTCTTGCCACTGTCCTGTTCCAGCTGCAGCTGTATGAGCCGGACCTTCCTGTGTGTCGGAGGCAACTGCCTGTTGGGGTGGACGGTCATGTAGCAGACCTCTCCCCCGACTGCCAGGGGCTGCCGCTGCTGGGTGATCTGGTAACCTGCCTGCCACAGAGACACGAGACACATACACTAGCACAGAGACATGAGACACAGACACTAGCACAGAGACATGAGACACAGTTACTAGCACAGACACCATGAGACACACACACTAGCACAGACACCTTGAGTCACATACACCATGACACACATACACTAGCACAGACAACACGAGGCACATACACTAACACAGACACCATGAGACATATATACTAGCACAGACACCATGAGACACAGACACCATAAGATAGACACTAGCACAGACACCATGAGACACAAACACTAGCAAAGACACCATGAGACACATACACTTGCACAAACACCATGAGACACAGACACCATGAGACACATACACTAGCACACACACCATAAGACACATACACTAGCACACACACCATAAGACACATACACTAGCACAGACACCATGAGATACATACACTAGCACACACACCATAAGACACATACACTAGCACAGACACCATGAGATACATACACTAGCACACACACCAGAAGACACATACACTAGCACAGACACCATGAGATACATACACTAGCACACACACCAGAAGACACATACACTAGCACAGACACCAGAAGACACATACACTAGCACACACACCAGAAGACACATACACTAGCACACACACCATAAGACACATACACTAGCACACACACCATAAGACACATACACTAGCACACACACCATAAGACACATACACTAGCACACACACCATAAGACACATACACTAGCACACACACCATAAGACACATACACTAGCACACACACCATAAGACACATACACTAGCACACACACCATAAGACACATACACTAACATTCCATCACTTTCAAAACAAAGCTACAGTGGCAAATGAGCCCAGTATATATATAACAGAATGGAGGTATGCTACACTGGATAAGTTGAGGCATATAATATGGAGCCATGTTGTAACTGTCTATAGGGCTACCATGGTGGGGGCCATTGCCAACCGAGTCATTCCTTACATCAGTCAAATCAACACAACTTTTCATAGCAGATCAATAGATGAATACAATCAGGATTATTTCTCTGTAATCATTTTTATATGTTGAGACTTGAGTTGTGTTTTCCGGTGTTTGTCTTACCGGCAGGTCAGCATAGAAGTAGTGTTTCCTGTCAAACTTTGACACACTGTTGATGTGACAGTTGAGGGCCAGCGCTGTGAGCACACCGGCTGCAACACACTCCCGGTTCAGCACCTGCCACACAATCATACTGACATCAATACAAGGACTGTCAGCAATCTTACAGCCATTTATCATTTGGCTGTCAATAACCGAGGCTGGATCATTCAAACCAGTTCTTGACACCTTGAATAACAATCATCGCTCCTGGGGTAGGATGTATTACAAATTGGGGTACAATGTCATATATGTCTACTCTACGGGGTGCCAGACATGTGTCGGGGCTCTACACACCGGCAGGGTGCCAGACATGTGTCGCGGCTCTACTCACCGGCAGGGTGCCAGACATGTGTCGGGGCTCTACTCACCAACAGGGTGCCGGACATGTGTCGCAGCTCTACTCACCGGCAGGGTGCCAGACATGTGTCGCGGCTCTACTCACCAACAGGGTGCCAGACATGTGTCGCTGCTCTACTCACCAACAGGGTGCCAGACATGTGTCGCAGCTCTACTCACCAACAGGGTGCCGGACATGTGTCGCGGCTCTACTCACCGGCAGGGTGCCAGACATGTGTCGGGGCTCTACTCACCAACAGGGTGCCGGACATGTGTCGCAGCTCTACTCACCAACAGGGTGCCAGACATGTGTCGCAGCTCTACTCACCGGCAGGGTGCCAGACATGTGTCGCAGCTCTACTCACCGGCAGGGTGCCGGACATGTGTTGCAGCTCTACTCATCAACAGGGTGCCGGACATGTGTCGCAGCTCTACTCACCGGCAGGGTGCCAGACATGTGTTGCGGCTCTACTCACCGGCAGGGTGCCAGACATGTGTCGCAGCTCTACTCACCGGCAGGGTGCCAGACATGTGTCGGGGCTCTACTCACCGGCAGGGTGCCAGACATGTGTCGGGGCTCTACTCACCGGCAGGGTGCCAGACATGTGTCGGGGCTCTACTCACCAACAGGGTGCCAGACATGTGTCGGGGCTCTACTCACCGGCAGGGTGTCAGGCATGTGTCGGGGCTCTACTCACCGGCAGGGTGCCAGACATGTGTCGGGGCTCTACTCACCGACAGGGTGCCAGACATGTGTCGCGGCTCTACTCACCGGCAGGGTGCCAGACATGTGTCGCGGCTCTACTCACCGGCAGGGTGCCAGACATGTGTCGCAGCTCTACTCACCGGCAGGGTGCCAGACATGTGTCGAAGCTCTACTCACCAGCAGGGTGCCAGACATGTGTCGGGGCTCTACTCACCAACAGGGTGCCAGACATGTGTCAGGGTTCTACACACCGGCAGGGTGCCAGACATGTGTCGGGGCTCTACTCACCAACAGGGTGCCAGACATGTGTCGGGGCTCTACTCACCAACAGGGTGCCAGACATGTGTCGCGGCTCTACTCACCGGCAGGGTGCCAGACATGTGTCGGGGCTCTACTCACCAACAGGGTGCCAGACATGTGTCGGGGCTCTACTCACCGGCAGGGTGCCAGACATGTGTCGCAGCTCTACTCACCGGCAGGGTGCCAGACATGTGTCGGGGCTCTACTCACCGGCAGGGTGCCAGACATGTGTCGGGGCTCTACTCACCGGCAGGGTGCCAGACATGTGTCGGGGCTCTACTCACCGGCAGGGTGCCAGACATGTGTCGGGGCTCTACTCACCGGCAGGGTGCCAGACATGTGTCGCAGCTCTACTCACCGGCAGGGTGCCAGACATGTGTCGGGGCTCTACTCACCGGCAGGGTGCCAGACATGTGTCGCGGCTCTACTCACCGGCAGGGTGCCAGGTAGGGCAGCATCAAAGAAGGAGACTTGTGTGTTGATTGGACTTCCATACTTTGTAGCTGAGGCAGAGAACAGCTTGGAGTTGGACTGTATCTGGGCATGTATCTCCAGCCCCACCACGCTCTTCCACCCAGACTGCAGCCTGAGACAGATGGAAACTCAGGTGTCATCAACCACTGTATTGTACACTCCTCACTACTAGGCCTGCTTTCAGTGCAGTAGTGTTTAAGATATGTAATGATTTGTAGCCAATCTGCATGTTTAGAGATGTGTAACTGTGTAAACTCTACAGAACATAGTGGCAGGACATCCCATTGACCAGGGTAAAACAGATCTGATATTTGGTGAGAGAAAATGGACCAGACTGTCAGTTTACCCAACAGACTGTTTATCTCTGAATACAGCGAGGAGGAGTCAGTGTCATGTCTGCATCCCAGTTGCTGTAAACGAGTTAATCCCTAATCATGTATAATATAATATACAGGAGAGGTAGAAAAGTTGAGTCTAACTATGAAGGATGAAGGATAACACACAGTTAATACTTTGTGTGTACTAAGTACAATACTTGCACCAAATACACAACCAGGCAAAACATACTCTTTAGGTCTTAAGAGGTTGGCAGCAGAACTTAAGAGGGGAAGAGAGAACCTTGAAGAAGATCTAAGATGAGGAGAATGCCTTCAACTGCCATCTCTAAGCAAACTGTTGATAAAATACATAATACAATAATGGATGATCAATAGCTCACCACCGCCAATACTGTAGCTAGTAGTAGAGTGAGAACAGGAATGAATTAGGCATGACAAAGGTCACAATTAAATAGGAAATGGATGATAATAATAATGAAAATGTACTGTTACAGTGTGCATCCAAATGTTAGAGTGCTCCATTACAACCCTCAGACAAAGGCAGTGTTAGGGGCCGTGTTGATATAAACACTGTCAAGTCTGGGGAGAGTCTGTCCTGGTAAACATCAAGATTATGAGCTACATTGGGTACAGTTACACGTGACAGGAAACAATTAACCTGACAACTGTATATGCTAACCATCTTGGGCACAGGGATAGGTCAAGCCCTCTTTGTGTTGCCTTATAATATCCTGTCATGTTGACCAGAGATTCGGGTACAGAAACCTGGAAAATGAAAATGCACGCGGAAGATCTGCTAGTCGGGAAAAAGTTGATCATTATTTTTCCGAACTCTCCAAAGTACTGACCAGGTACAACTTCCACAAGACCACAAGACATCTACAACATTGCTGAAAAGGGTCTTCAAACCACAACACTGATGCTCCTATCATCACAAACATACAAGGTCCAGGCTATTACGACTAATAAATCCAAAACAGTAGCAGCAACAGAGACATCAGTGCTCAAGGAATTTTGTTTTGCACAAGTGTCACTGTAATGTACTGACATGCTGCATTCTTCTGTTCCCACTGCCAGCCACACCCACAATCCTAGGAGTGGTTGAGTCACACCCAGTGCAGGCTACATATGTTATTTGTTTTCATCCTTTACGGATCTTTGTGTTGAATTGTTTATCTGGATATGTTTCATATCTAAACTTTGACGGATGTAATTTTCATTAAAGGAAGTGCAGGTTTCTATACATAATGTTGTCTTATATCATGTGTACCATGGTGTACGATGTCACTATTAAAAACTGGTGACATTTGCTGTACACACAAACTTAGATGAGCCCTTACTGTGACTGGGGTGAGCGAGTGGCAAACAATAATTTTTCAGTAACTATAAAATGTAAGCATGCAGCATAGTTTTAAAAACATGACAAACAAAGTAATCTGATGTTCTTGTCAGCGACATGTCATTACAAAGTCCAAAAATGGAGAAAACGGGATATTATTATTATTATTATTTACAGATTAAAATATAAAATAATGCAGCAAAGATGGTTTGTGTGATCCTGGGACAGTCAGGCTGGTTAAGCTCATCATCAGCTCAGGGCCCTTGCCCCCTCTACATGCAGACCAGACAGCGAATGGGACTTCTCCCAGGAAGCGCTGCCTAGTCGAACCCACCCAGAACCTTTCTGAGAATGAGAAAACTCCCCAACACTGCAGCCTTCTGCAGAAGGGCTGTATTCCTGGTAGCAAACCAATGTCAGTCAACAGATTGGGAGGTACCAAACCTAAGGCACCGAGAACAATGGGGAGTCGGATAATTTGGTACGTGGGATGCAAGCGTGACATTTCGAAAGCGAGGTCTGCATATTTGCCATGTTTTTTCTCAATCTTGTCAATCACATTACTGTCAAAAGGGACAGAAAATTCAAGGATATAAATGATTTCATTGGATTTATCAAAAAGGACAAAATCAGGTTTGTTGGCCTGGATATGTCTGAGGCTGTATACAGGCCTATTCCAAAGGATTTTGTATTTATTATTTTCCATGACGCCCTCTACATATTCCGGGTCGTATCATGGATGGACCTCTTTGTCAAAACCACAAGCATGGCGAAGACGGTAATAAAACGATCGAGCCACCCGATCATGTCACTTAAGATACTGTGTCTGTCTGTGCCAAAGCTGGGCATTCACTCACAAAGTGTTGGACAGTCTCATTAAATTCATTACATAATCTACATTTCATATTCACATTTTGATGCAAAATCACACATTGACGGTTTCGAGTTGGAAGTGACTGGTCCTGATCAGCAAACAGAAAGCCTTCTGTTTCACTTTTCAGGCCAGATGACTTCATCCAAGAGAAGGACTTTGCAGGATTGCTGATCTTCTCAACACACTGCACATAAACTCGATGCAGTGGTCGTTCAGAAAGTCTGTCCTTGAAAAACTGAGTCTGGGCCGATTTGATATGGCACTTCGCTTGGTTGACACTTATTTATGTACTGTCCAGCAGTACAGAACCATCAACATAAACAACGACGACAATGAGATCATGTCCCACATCCTTTGCTCATTTTAGATAACTGTGGAATGCCTTGTTTTCATCATGAGTCTTGACATGCTTCACAAGAGAATCATCAGACAAATAGATGTGTGCAAAAGTGCACAAAACAATTCTATCATGAAGAGCCTCCACATTAATTAAACCACGCCCTCCCATCATAATTGGTAAATATAATTATTATTATTAATTGCATTGGCATGCTATCTAAATGAAACAACTGAAAGTGGAACATGTCTATTCGTTACAAACATGACACGTGCTCTTCAAACGAATCTACTCGGTGGCCCTGTAACTGTGTAAGGTGTTTCTGGTGCGAGGAATGTAAATATGGGATAACAGATATGGGGATAACAGGCGTCAGGTCGGTATGCTATGGTAAAATAACAGCGATACATTTTCAGAAACAATTCAACATTAAGCCTTAAGAACATCAGTCACTACAACGTAAAGTTTTTGTAAACACCACAATGATGACACACATCACTATTGCTCGGGTAATGTTGTGGGCGAAAAATGGGGGACTGCTATATTTTTTCTGATTGTCGTGTTTCATCACGATCTGTCGTCTTAATAATGCAAGAGTAATTGTAAGTGGCACAAACATCTCTTTGGCTCTTTAAAATGGAAAGTACCTGACATTTTTCGAGTAGAATCTGTGAAATTTGTATCTTGAAAATGACTTGTGAAACCCGCACGTCTTGCACGGAACATAGCGTATGGAGGCCGCCATATTGGCAGTGATCAAAGGGAAGTAATTTGAGTGAGATTGAATTTTAGTGAGAATGATACCGCTACAAAATTTCACATCATATATATATATATATATATATATATATATATATATATGATGTGAAATTTTGCAGCGGTATCATTCTTTACCCGCACGTTTATATATATATATATATATATATATATATATATATATATATATATATATATTTGGTGAGTCATATAAGTCAGTGTCTTGTTTGTGTTTTAGGTATAAAACATTCTGTTGCACCATTCAATGGGTTAATATGTCAGCTTGTCAATTGCAAAGTAAAATTCAAGTTGTCAACAAACTGATAGTCTGTGATATTCTTAAAGATAGACAGTTATTTGAAATATTGCACCTGACTGCAGCTGATGACAAAAACAAGGAGACAAATAACTTCATCAATCATTTTTTATTTATTTTTGTCATGCTACCATATTTTACAGACAATAAAGACATTTGTAAATAAATACCTCTGATGTGAGAATGTTGTAATTACGGAGTGAAAGACACATTTGAGACAAGGAAATAATATATTCTTCTCACCAAGTATTCAACATCAGTTAATATTTCTGTAGCTCGAAATCTTCACATACTCTCAGGCCAAATGAGATTTCTTGTTCTAGAAACACATCATTTATAAAATGAACATGAATGGACCTATCCTATACAATTGAAATTGATTTTGATTCTCACAGCCTTAATAGCCAGCAATTATTCTGTGTGAAGTATGTACTTGGTAAGAAACATATATCATAAAAACATTTATGCAATTGAAGCATCCGAGCTACAAAAAATAGCTATATTTAAAATAAATTCTTGGACCAGTGAACTCTGCAAAACCAAAGGATAACTGAATGTATTTATATTTCAGAATTCTGGTCCTTGTTATTCATCAAACAATAGCTGACCATTGGTCAATATCTGGATGTTAAAGTGGAAAGTCCTTGAAACTAGTTGAAATCAAAATCAAGATCACGGTCACTAAATATAACTTTAACAAACTTGATCAGCTTGGCTTATAGACGTTGGTCCTCTAAGCATGCATTCTATAAAGAAAGTCTATGCAATCATTGATAAGATAATTAATGTAACAAGCCTATCCACAACCTCTCGATTTATGAACCTGAACATGTCTGTTACTTGTCACTGTGAATGTTTCTGAATGGAAATACAGGCTGATCTGACAGAAATTGAAAACAACATGTATCCAGTCTGAAACTGAAAGTGTAGAATGTGAAAGTTTGTTTAAAACAACGAGAATCAGAGAACTCATGTGGATGACCTCTGACCACTTGGGTCAACAGGACCAGATTTATACCCTCTTCTTGTGAACACTGCAGAAACTGGTAAATGTCACCTGTAATTCACACATTCATTAGAGGTGATGTCAAAGAAAAAAGTTTCTAAAAACCACTACAAGAACTACAAAATGCACTATATCATCCACATCACTAGTGATTGACAGTTTCATACAGGGATTATATGTGAATGGCAACAATTATCACATTGGATGAACTGATGACTGTGGCACGTGATGTGTGACATAAACATGGGTATACATTGTATATATGGTCCACAGAACCAAGGTGGGTAGCAATGCTGTTCTTAGTCCAACTTCTATGCATGATTGCATAAGAATACTTTAGGAATATATTCTATGAATCTTCCAGAATGTTCTTATGAATGAAGAAAATGTCTTTTTAAACATCTTAATCTGTCAAAGTTTCCTTACTTCTTGTTCTGTCCCGTCTAAGGCGCCGCGATTCGCTGTGCAGAGTTGCATCCCTTGGGCACGCCAGAAACCTATGATTGTGGGTTCGAATCCCGTTTCGCCCCGTTTATGTTTTTAGGTTTGTCAGCACCATACCCGTGCTTGTGGGTTTCACCGAAGTGGTAAACGTCTGAGACCTGCATCACTTCGGGCTTTCCTCCCACATTAAGCTGACACGCCGTGATATAACTGGAATAATGTAAAAGCGGCGTTAAACCCACCTCACTCACTCACTCTTGTTCTGTCCCAATGAGAGGTGGTCCCATGACAAACATCAGGCACAGGTTAGATGTAACTTGCATAAGGAACAGGTGTCACTTAATACAGAGATTGTGACACTGCCACGTTGCGCTGTAGATGCAGTGATGAAAGGTGGGCCAGGCTAGCGTTCCATATCCTCACAGCCACATGTAAAGCCCTACATTAGGACAATTGGGCAGCACCACTAAATCTGAAAGCATCCATGTAAGTAATTCTATCTTATCTGTAGACCAAAACATGTCCGTAAACATGTGAAGCTGGCTGGTGTGTAATGAGTACATATCACCACATGTCACATATTTGGCTGGAGCAACACTGGTATGCACATTTGTGTATTCTCTAGAATAACTTGTAACTCTACACATTACTAACTTACTATCAATCACAAGGTGATCTGCATCAACTGTGTGATTACATTTAAATGTTATTTGTGTATGAAAGACACCTGTACTATGAAACTTCTCATTCTTCGGAAGGTAACTAATTTGAACTGAAAAGTTAACAGCTCCTGTGCCATAATGTTTTCTAAGTAACAGCCAGAGAACAAATTATTTTCATACTTTAAGTCTAGTAGAAGTTTAAACCATATTGCATTTAGCACTGATATCTTCTGAAAGCTTCTAAGTAGAAGATTGTGTTACCAGGGTGGAGCCTACTATCCAGGTGTGGTACATGGTGGTACAACTGTACCATCACCTGCACAGGTTTCCCTGACAACACAGAGACCAGTCATGTACTATGGAGGTGGGAAATATAGTAATCATATAATGGATACTGTTATCTATGATAAAAAACCCAATTTAAAACACTTGGTACCATGACCAATTGGAAATGTTCAAAATATGTTCAGGTTTCACAATGCCTCATGAGTGAATGCTTCTCCATACAAACACGTCTGCCAATTATTTGGCACTAAAAATAGACTCACTCAATATAATTTGGATTCCAAAGATGAAATGTATGACTAACAATCTCTATTTACCAAAACACATGACCTTCTCTTAGCGTATGCACAGAAATTGAATTGTTTGCTGACCTCTAAATCTGTTTTTCCTTCCTGTAACAAAGCCAACAGTGTGTGATAATGTATCTCAGCTTAAAGAAGGAATTCTTATGATGCCCCTACATGCACAGGGCTGATTGTTGGACTAGCCTTCCTGCCCTACCCACCACCTATAACAATGACTGGTCCCATAATACAGCTCTTACAAACACAAACAACATCCTCGACATAGATGTATGTATCTTGTGTAACAAGCTAAGCAAGCAGATTCTACTTCAGCTGGCGTATCCACAGTCCTAGCTTCCCCTGCTTCAACAACACAACTCATTTGACACCTGGGATTGTGAGATGAATGCCTTCAAGTCCTTTTGATTAAGTTCCCACAATGGAAGCAACATTTACAGCACACTTCTTACAGAGGATCAAACGTCAGTGTCTGACAGGACTGGGAGGAAAGCGAGAACTACAAGCAAGCAACATAAGAGAAGTAAAAACATAGTGTGATAACTAACGGTGATTGTCTGTTGTGTAGACATGCAATGGCAATATCACATCCTCATTGTTGCTTGTAGCAGTTCCCAGTTATACTCAGCATATTGTTGGGGGGGGGGGGGGGGGGCTTATAGTTGTTAATTTCAGCATATCCAAACCACATCACATAAAGGTTATAGTGACCTCACACAGACGTGTACTGGTATTAACCCCCCAGGTCAGCCTGTCTAGCATACAGACCTCAAACAACCAGGTCCCAGTGTATTGTGTGACCTCCACAATTCAGTCTTTACTAAATTTGTTTCTTTGATGCCTTTTAGTGGTTTTACTGACCAGTATATTCAATATATAGAACCTAAACTATTTGTTTTTCTTAACTTCATTTCAATATCAAGCAGTACACAGATTACTTTGATCTTCCGCCTTAGAGGCAGGGCTTATTCCAGATAGCCATACAGGGCAGCACATTCCATGCCACACAATACCCTTTCCTATACTAACCCTTTGAAGGCATGAAAAAGCCTGGTCGGCTCAATGTCCTGGCAAAGTAAAAAGTTGACTACCATAATCTAATGAACTGTTTCAGTGGCAAGTTGATAGCTGAAACAAACATTCATAAATTAAGCAAGTATTCTCTACAGATATGAAGTCATTAATGAAGTGAGCATAACTTGATAAAAGAAACAAATTTGTGATGAAATGAAACTTTAGTTTGAAATACTCTATGCAATATTATATTATCCTCTTCCTAGACATAAACTGCCTTAGACATGTTCCATCTGTAGTGTGTACTCAAATCACCGAACTCTCGTCTCCTCATTGCAGACACTCAGCCGATCAACTCAGACCAATGTTGTGTGTCTCCATAAATGTCTGGAGTCTTACAACCTGAGGCTATTGAACATGACAATCAATCAGTCTACAAATGCTAGCATATTCACATATCTATAGTATTCAATCATAAACAGATGGCATGATGTTACATGAATAATATTGTCAAAAACTCCTCAATCAATAATCACAAAATAAATTCACAAAACTACGTATTACATCCATAATTTTCATCTAATATCACACGTAGGAATATGGTACATAATTTGCATTTTCAAAGTGCATGATAAATATATTCTGATTCACTCTCTCAAACAAAACAGGTTATATGGAATGTAGTAGCAAAATGATATTGACAGCTGTACCTAGCTGTCAATCACACAAGGAGGGAGTCAGTAGGTCGCTGGAGTTAGCTGTTGCTATGGTGATCAACCGTGTGATATTGGAGCCTGGATTATAGCTCCAGCTGATGTACTCATATCAAGTTTGGAAATTTTTCAATCGCTAACTTATAAAGTCATTGAAAACTTGATAGGAAATATGATATGTGTGTTCTTTTTGTAAATGCAAAAGATTGGTTCCTGAATGAAAATGACCCTTTGACCAGCGATACAACAAATTAATTTCTTGTTTCCACAATCACCATTTGAAAAATATTCTGGCCACCATGTGCTCCTGTTAAAGAAAGCATGTGCTTAGATCTGATTTACATTGGTAGTTTTTTCTTTTGCCATGCACATGAGAATTCAGAAAGTAATATAATACCCTTTTTGTCATAATGTAATATTGGAGAACAAGCAACTTAATTGTTGGGACCTCAGTAGCAGAGTGTGAAATGACAGGTCATCTGAGCAGGACACGTCAAATCATGTGGAACACCTTCAAACGCTACTGATGGTCCTCCCCTGTTCTGGATTGAGATGTTTCTGCTGCCTCATCACAAATACAGTGATCCACAGCTAGGAGATGGGAATAGTAATACCCTTCCAACAAATCTGCTACAGACACATTTACACATCACATCCAGGTATGATGGTTCAGGTACATATAACATACATACACAACAATAGTTCAAACACTAAAACAACCACCTTCCTACAACTCCAGGTGAACATGTGCTGTGTTACAAGTGGCATGTTGGTGTTGTTCTACAGATATTGTCTCAAACACAAGCAGAATTCCACCTCATTGCATCCATCTCCACGTTTTACGTACAAAGCACATGGAAATAACAGTCGGTCATCAAAAGATTCTTAAACAGACAATATGACTGTACAGTTCATGATTATCCTCTTACCAAACAAGGGCAACACATTCCAAATAAGGTAAGAACAACTAAGTTTGAAGACAGGGATTAGAAGCGGGACAGTCCCCCTACACTCTCACTATCACATCATCATATCTGAGTTATTAGTAGTTCAATGATCAAAATTAATAAACAATGGTCAAGAACACACCTTGACCATGCTGACTGCTTTCACAGCATGAAGTAAAAAAATAGCAAAGGCTAGCTGAACAGTATTCAAGATGTGTGTCTTTTTGAGAGGTCCCTGGCTGTGTACACTCTGACGACCTATCAACATGAGCAGCGCTACACAAGGGAGGGACTCCTATCTGCTGGCAGTCACACAGTCACATGATCACTTGGTAAACATACAAACTTCCTAATTGACTGATAACATTGGAGACAACTGTGTCCTGTTAATTCTATATATGTAGAGATGCGTATTACCCCATCTCCTTAAGATCAGATGTTAGTTCTTGCTACTGCTAAACAAAGATCACATTTAATGTCATGTAAGTACGACCTTTCCGCCAACCAACCTTTTCATCAGTGCGTCGCTTACTAGATCAGGAAAGTGACAGTCTGATTATGTTTTCTAATAACTCAACCTTGAAAAGTTTAACACAGGGTATTCCGAATGACAGTTACAAGTTTTATGACCGATTCCACCAAAATCACTATCTCTTGCATCAATGGGGATAAACATTTGAATGGAAGAGATTTTGCATAGCCCATGGTAAATACTACCATACAATCTAGGCCATCTATTAGACATTCCAGGATGTTCTTTTGTTCAGTTTTCAAATTTTGAATTGCGAACTTTGTCAAAATATTTTTCAAAATGTAGTTGCCAGTTTAGAACAAGTGTAAAAACTGCTTTCTGATTGGCTAATGTCAGTGTTCGAAATACCTGCCTGCCCGACCGTCCAAGACGGGTTGATTTCAACTCGGGCTGCCAGATTTTCAAATCCCCCTGCCCGACGATCAGGTTATATTTCATATGTGAAAATATTCTAAATATTTCCCGATGATAATCATTAATTCACATGTAAAGATGAATGATAAAATGTAACCAAAAAGAAACCCCGTTAGCTTATCCTGAGAAACATATGATTATAGTGGGCAGGCAGGTTTTGGTCAGGGCTGGCAAGTATTTCAGCTAGCCAGTCCTGTGGTCTGGCTGAAATTTTTGGGAGTTTCATACCCTGCTAATGTTGACTTCTTGTAAGTCATTTGATTGACCGGTCAAAGTTTGCAAAAGGTTGTTCTGACGTGACTTGTAGATCGTGTATTAGCAAACAAGTCATGGTGCAGCCACACAGCTATTGTTTCCGACGATATGATATACAATGTACTACCAAACAATTGTTGAAGGTGTTGGGATATGCTTTATCACTTTTCATTGAGAAATGATACTTATCATGACCATATCATGATATGTAACAGACTGAAATATATTATAATACAGACTCTGATATTCTTTCATTCGCAAAACAACTAAAAACAACTCTTTAGACAGGCATTTTAACCATTTTTTCAATAACTGTTTCATATAAATAAACAAGAAATAGTGGCTTGATCATCTACAAAATGTTCAGTTCATATTTATCACGATGCATGTTTGGCACTAGCTTGCTGCACCAAGCTGCCAATACCAACACTGGTATATAGCATACACAGGTTAGGAAGTGCTACAAGCTGCCAAGCCTAACACTGGTATATAGCATACACAGGTTAGGAAGTGCACCAAGCTGCCAAGCCTAACACTGGTATATAGCATACACAGGTTAGGAAGTGCTACAAGCTGCCAAGCCCAACACTGGTATATAGCATACACAGGTTAGGAAGTGCTACAAGCTGCCAAGCCCAACACTGGTATATAGCATACACAGGTTAGGAAGTGCACCAAGCTGCCAAGCCTAACACTGGTATATAGCATACACAGGTTAGGAAGTGCACCAAGCTGCCAAGCCTAACACTGGTATATAGCATACACAGGTTAGGAAGTGCACCAAGCTGCCAAGCCTAACACTGGTATATAGCATACACAGGTTAGGAAGTGCTACAAGCTGCCAAGCCCAACACTGGTATATAGCATACACAGGTTAGGAAGTGCTACAAGTCTGACAATACTAACTCTTATCAATAATCATCACATGCCATTCTGTACAGATAGCAGTGGGCTTCACTTGATGAAATGATGGTGATGGAGGGACTAAGCAGCTGGGAGGCCTTGGACTAGAAGGATACTCAGTCACACCAACAATCATCTACACAGGGACTGATATTCTTCTTCCATAGATACCACAAATACCCTGCACAGGCCAGCCTGTGAGACTGAAACATCACCTTATTACATTTATCACAAATTAACCAAACATCACTGAAAATTGACATACTTTGAGGTTGTCATAGCAACTGAGCATATACTTCAGCAGTTGTTGGATTTCAAAATCAACAGACAGTTTGTTGTCATGACTACACATAATACAGGACTTTAATTTCTGGGCAAATAGAATCACTTTCTGAGATGTTTGATGTAAAACATTTGTTTCAGTGAACTTCACATGATGCTTGTAATGAAGATATGTAGCTAAGTTCACCATATAGAATCATAATGTAAAAACGTTCAATTTTGGCTCATCACAAGGGTTGAACTTTACACTCTACAAGTCAGCAAATGTTGCATGAACTGAGGTAGCAGCAGCAGTGGCAGCATCCTTGCTTCCCAACCAGACGCTCTGGGAATGTTATGATAGACTGGGATTACAGAGCCTCACTACTTGGAAAATGGAACCATCTTTTATAAGGCTGAAAATACTTACATGGTGTTGTGGAAGCAAAACTTAAATCCAAAGGTACTCCACAATCCTGGCTGGTCCATATGACCATGTCAAGTGGTCCGCCACATGGCCTGGGCAACTCCATCCAGCGCACATACTGGTGATCGGGACCCAGCCCTAGTGAACACTAACTAGTACTTACTGTAGCTGAGCAAGCCAAGAGCATAATCTGATCATGGCTGTCATCTACTAAGCATGCTAAGAGGTCAATCACAGAACATATTCACAATCTTGTATTTGTGTGATTTACAAGTGAGCTTGGCCCTCGCCCCTTCAGGATGGGGATGGGTGCTGCTGCTGCTGCTGCAGGAGATGAGGACCTCACAGTGATAGTAGGGAGCACTACATCCAGCTATGTGTATACCATAAGCAAACATACATTTAATAAAAGTAGGCATTCGATACCGATGCCATCAGCATCCTCAAGCAGGTCACATGTACATAATTCTTAATTCCTAGGCAGGACAATGTATATGTATACTAATAGCTTTACCAGAATTGTTATCAACATTCACTGGGTTGAACTTGATCACTCAGTAACCTACTCCTTGTATCACTCACTATGAAATATGGCAACGATAATATATCTGTCACATTCATTGGTATTAAATATGATCTCTCTTCTTCATCAGAATCACTTAACATGTCACCAAAATTCAGAAAACTGATTCCTTTTCAAGAAATTGGTGAAATATTAATACTTGCCTTGTCAGGAACTGACTCCATTTGTACACAAATACTAATCCTGATAATGATATTAAGCAACGCCAGCTGTGCTGTCCGACTCTTAAGACTAGGGAATAGCAAACACTTCTAGGAACAATGAAGGTAAAATCATGTCAAAGCACTCATGTCCAACAGATTTGGCAGCAAACATTCAAGACCATGACGACAGGACATCTTCATGGAAACTGTTCCAGGCATTCAGACCAAGTTCATTCAACCTTGATAAAACAACCATCTGGCACACTGCAGACAGTCTCACTCGAAGCAGATACACTACAGACAGAGTCCCGACAGTGACAAGGAACACCTGCTGTAGTGTGTTAACTAACAAGGTCTTCGAGATCTGGTACTTGAGTCTTCATCTGTGATTTAAACAGTCACTTGGTTAACAACAGACACAAGTTGTATATTTGGCTAGTCTGGTCGAAGTATTGGTACCTTTGGAATGAACTCAATGAACAGAACCTGAAAAGAGATTAAAACATGTTAGAGGTGAACACAGACACCTGCAGGACCCACTCGCACAGAACAAGTTACAGTCAATCTTGGGCACTTACAATCGCCATACCTAAGGCTGAAAAAGGCTTGAACACAAGACCCCGACAGTGAAATGCAACAATACTTAAAAACAACACAATCTAATATAGTGTGCAGTTACTTCTCTTCAGATGCGCAGTGCTGTCCTGGGCATCTCGTGTTATATGTTATGGTCATGGCAGGAATAGAAGTCTGTGTGATGGTCAATGAAAACATGAAATTTACGATATAACATCACCAGATATAAGATTTTCAAATTCAATGGTATTTGTGTACTGTATGCCGGACAAAGTTTCACACGCAGATATTAAGATGTGTCTATTTGTGTAAAATATGGCGGAATTAGCAATTTGCTGTTTACACTTTTTCTCCCCCATCTATGGTTGAGTTAGTTTGAAAAAAACTTAATGTCATGGCCATTATCATAACTGAAAAGAAATTTCATAGGAATTGATATGAAGACCGAAGACTATGTATCTCTAACATCTATTGTTCGTTTGAAGGCGAGTTCATAGTGAGTTGATGGGATTTGCCGATCAGATCATACACGATTCCGACATAATTAATGTAAACAAAATTGAATGAAATCTTGGATAAAAGTAATATAATGGACTACAAACAGAAGTCCAGATACAAAATAGATATATCCAGATAGTGTAATAATAGGAGTAACTTGCGTACTTCAGTACGGATGTGTTGACATGCTTCTGGTGTTGTGTGCTCACAATAACATCTTCGCGTTGTGAAATAAAATCAAAGCTCATTGTATGCATGTATTGTGCAATTACTGGTTGTCCAACGGTAGTTAAATACTGTATTCCAGTATTTTACTCATCAAGGAATATATTCATGTAGGGAGGCCCTTTCCCAGGTTGATTGTACGCAAATGTTTATTTGGTTACATACTAATTTTATCAACCAAAAAAAAAAAGGCCACCCACCCGCACCATATTTTCAAAAGCCATTGCCTGAGAAGCAATTCTTTTATTTTTTTAAGCCTAAGTCTTATTCCACTTGTACAGACCGATTGTAAGACTGCTTGGTTTTAAGATTGTGACCTCTTTAACAGTGGAGGTACAATTATCTTAAACTGGACACATTACAAAATGAAATGGCAGTGTTTCAAAGCAAGGCATATAAATTATGTGAACCAGCAGGCATCTTGCATGCCATTATGTCAAGTTTATTCAGGTACTACAACGTCTTAAGCTACTTAAGATTGGTCCAGCCTGTAGCTGAAGCCTGAAAACACAATATCTAGGATGTACAATGATTGTAGCACTGATATTGGGCTGACAAGTGGGCCCAGGTTACACCGAGTCAGGTGGAATTCCCATCAGCACCAGACAGGCTGCTTCCATGATGACCCTTCAGGTAACTCATATTTCAACATGAAAACAGATATAATAGATGATTGGCAATTGATAGAATTATGTTTATCCAAATTGTGTACATGAAAAAATATTGGATTGTGTTGTATATGAGTTTATTATGACGGCAACATGCAAATAATTCAGTCAGGACCAGACAATTCTGGTGGTGTAAATGCCAGATAGTACTTACATATTCCATCATACTACTTGAGTCACATCTTTGTTTACTGAGACGAAAATGCAAGCCAAGCTGAAATAATAAACAAAAGATTGTAACAGTGGAAGAAATTAACCTTGAATATTTGATAGCTATAATAGTAGTGATGGAAATTGTATTGAAATTTATTGCAATAATAAGTCATGTACTGTGATATGTATCACAATATATTGCATATGTTCTTTCAGCTGTAATATGTTATGAACCTGAATAACAATGGACCCATACATGAGACTTCTCCTGTTCATTTATGACAACTTTGTGGTCATCCACCATTTTGTAGGATGTTGCTATGGTCACAACGCATGCGTAATAGACACACTACATACAGTAAGCTGATCGCTAATACTTTCACTTTTTCAATCACAGGAATCAAGCTGCCAATATCATAATTTCATTTGGCTTCGTCACTTTTGTGAACTTTGCCAAGATGAAAATATGCATGAATTTTAAAAACACAACATACCAGTATTTGCAAGGTACTCATAACAATGTTTACATGTGCTAACAAAAACAATACTTTTGATCCATCTTTGAATGCAGTGAATATCATTTCACCAAAAGCTAGTTTGGCCCTTCTTTTTCTATTGGGAATACCCGATCAGTTCCTGAATCCTTTGGATTATTCTGTGAATCATACAATCCATCTAGAATATTTATCACTGGCTTCCTATACTGAACATTTTAACAAGAAACCATGATTTCTAAGATGTGTCCTGCAGCAACCAGGAACTTACTTTAACTGTGTCATTGACACTGTTGTACAACACATTTTCAACTTGGAACTTACATTAACTGTGTCATTGACACTGTAGTACAACATATTTTCAACTTGGAACTTACATTAACTGTGTCATTGACACTGTAGTACAACACATTTTCAACTTGGAACTTACATTAACTGTGTCATTGACACTGTAGTACAACATATTTTCAACTTGGAACTTACTGTAACTGTGTCATTGACACTGTAGTACAACACATTTTCAACTTGGAACTTACATTAACTGTGTCATTGAAGCTGTAGTATAACACATTTTCAACTTGGAACTTACTGTACCTGTGTCATTGACACTGTTGTACAACACATTTTCAACTTGGAACTTACATTAACTGTGTCATTGACACTGTAGTACAACACATTTCAACTTGGAACTTACATTAACTGTGTCATTGACACTGTAGTACAACACATTTTCAACTTGGAACTTACTTTAACTGTGTCATTGACACTGTAGTACAACACATTTTCAACTTGGAACTTACTGTAACTCTCTCATTGACACTGTAGTACAACACATTTTCAACTTGGAACTTACATTAACTGTGTCATTGACACTGTAGTACAACACATTTTCAACTTGGAACTTACTTTAACTGTTTCAATGACACTGTAATACAACACATTTAAAACTCTGAACTTACTTAAACTGTGTCATTGACACTGTAGTACAACACATTTTCAACTCTGAACTTACATTAACTGTGTCATTGACGCTGTAGTACAACACATTTTCAACTTGGAACTTACATTAACTGTGTCATTGACACTGTAGTACAACACATTTTCAACTTGGAACTTACTTTAACTGTTTCAATGACACTGTAATACAACACATTTAAAACTCTGAACTTACTTAAACTGTGTCATTGACACTGTAGTACAACACATTTTCAACTTGGAACTTACATTAACTGTGTCATTGACACTGTAGTACAACACATTTTCAACTCTGAACTTACATTAACTGTGTCATTGACACTGTAGTACAACACATTTTTAACTCGGAACTTACTTTAACTGTGTCATTGACACTGTAGTACAACACATTTTCAACTCGGAACTTACTTTAACTGTGTCATTGACACTGTAGTACAACACATTTTCAACTTGGAACTTACATTAACTGTGTCATTGGCACTGTAGTACAACACATTTAAAACTCTGAACTTACTTTAACTGTGTCATTGACACTGTAGTACAACACATTTTCAACTTGGAACTTACTTTAACTGTGTCATTGACACTGTAGTACAACACATTTTCAACTCCGAACTTACATTAACTGTGTCATTGACACTGTAGTACAACACATTTTCAACTCCGAACTTACATTAACTGTGTCATTGTCACTGTATTACAACACATTTTCAACTCCGAACTTACATTAACTGTGTCATTGACACTGTAGTACAACACATTTTCAACTCCGAACTTACATTAACTGTGTCATTGACACTGTAGTACAACACATTTTCAACTCCGAACTTACATTAACGGTGTCATTGACACTGTAGTACAACACATTTTCAACTCCGAACTTACATTTACTGTGTCATTGACACTGTAGTACAACACATTTTCAACTCGGAACTTACTTTAACTGTGTCATTGACACTGTAGTACAACACATTTTGAACTCTGAACTTACATTAACCGTGTCAATGACACTGTAATAGAACACATTTAAAACTCTGAACATACATTAACTGTGTCATTGACGCTGTAGTACAACACATTTAAAACTCTGAACTTACTTAAACTGTGTCATTGACACTGTAGTACAATACATTTTCAACTCCGAACTTACATTAACTGTGTCATTGACACTGTAGTACAACACATTTTCAACTTGGAACTTACTGTAACTGTGTCAATGACACTGTAGTACAACACATTTTCAACTTGGAACTTACTTAAACTGTGTCATTGAAGCTGTAGTATAACACATTTTCAACTTGGAACTTACTGTAACTGTGTCATTGACACTGTTGTACAACACATTTTCAACTTGGAACTTACTTTAACTGTGTCATTGACACTGTTGTACAACACATTTTCAACTCGGAACTTACATTTACTGTGTCATTGACACTGTAGTACAACACATTTTCAACTTGGAACTTACTTTAACTGTGTCATTGACACTGTAGTACAACACATTTTCAACTCTGAACTTACTGTAACTGTGTCATTGACACTGTAGTACAACACATTTTCAACTCCAAACTTACATTTACTGTGTCATTGACACTGTAGTACAACACATTTTCAACTCGGAACTTACTTTAACTGTGTCATTGACACTGTAGTACAACACATTTTCAACTCTGAACTTACTGTAACTGTGTCATTGACACTGTAGTACAACACATTTTCAACTCGGAACTTACTTTAACTGTGTCATTGACACTGTAGTACAACACATTTTCAACTCTGAACTTACTGTAACTGTGTCATTGATACTGTAGTACAACACATTTTCAACTCCAAACTTACATTTACTGTGTCATTGACGCTGTAGTACAACACATTTTCAACTCGGAACTTACTTTAACTGTGTCATTGACACTGTAGTACAACACATTTTCAACTCTGAACTTACTGTAACTGTGTCATTGACACTGTAGTACAACACATTTTCAACTCGGAACTTACTTTAACTGTGTCATTGACACTGTAGTACAACACATTTTCAACTCTGAACTTACTGTAACTGTGTCATTGACACTGTAGTACAACACATTTTCAACTCCGAACATACATTAACTGTGTCAATGACACTGTAATACAACACATTTTCAACTCTGAACTTACTGTGACTGTGTCATTGACACTCTGAGTAACACATACCTTGTGATATAGATGACTATTCTCCCAGTCTAAAACTTTCTCTATTGCATGCCTAGTCTGAAACAAGAAACATGTAGAACATAAAAATCAACAGTTCCATTTCCAAGTTGTAAGATGCTTTTATTACATGATTTGTTGTTTACAAAAGCTTAAAATCTTCAAACAATAAAATCTATGAACTGTGGCCTTGCTCTTATTGCTGGAAAGGTATTAGGTTTTTAGAAACCACTCCTGCATGTATCTTTGTCTGTCTATTTATGTTCATGTTGTTGATTACAGCAGTCTCTGATCATGCAACCTTGATTACGTTAACACTGGGTATTCCAAACTACAGTTGTGGCCAGTACAACTGATTCTGTAAAACATATTGTCTGTCTATCGCTTCCATGGAATAAACATTTGAACGGAGGAGGTGTTGCACAGTATGTGGGAAGCACTACTATAAAATCTCAACCATATATTAGACATTCAGAAATGTTCGTTTGTTTTTCAAAATTTTAATCGAGAACTGTGTCAACATATTTTTCAATCATAGTCTGAAATGAAAGTTGCCAGGTTGAAACAAGTGCCGAAAAGCCCGAGAAAGCTGCTTTCTAATTGGCTGATGTCGCCTTCTTGTTAGACATTTCAATGATTGGTCAAAGTTTGCAAAAGGTCATTCTGACGTGACCCGTAATGGGATGTCCTCATGTGATGGAGTGGGGCAGGACATGTGATGGAGTGGGACATGTGATGGGGTGGGACATGTGATGGGGTGGGGCAGGACATGTGATGGAGTGGGACATGTGATGGGGTGGGGCAGGCTTAGTGATGGAGTGGGACATGTGATGGAGAGGGGCAGGACATGTGATGGAGTGGGACATGTGATGGAGAGGGGCAGGACATGTGATGGAGAGGGGCAGGGCATGTGATGGAGATGGGCAGAATATGTGATGGAAGGGGGCAGGACATGTGATGGAGAGAGGCAGGGCATGTGATGGAGAGGCAGGGCATGTGATGGAGGGGGGCAGGACATGTGATGGAGAGGGGCAGGACATGTGATGAAAGGGGGCAGGACATGTGATGGAAGGGGGCAGGACATATGATGAAGCGGGGAAGGACATGTGTTTGAAGCGGTGAAGGACATGTGATGGAAGGGGGCAGGACATGTGATGGAGAGGGGCAGGACATGTGATGGAAGGGGGCAGGACATGTGATGGAAGGGGGCAGGACATGTGATGGAGAGGGGCAGGACATGTGATGGAGAGGGGCAGGACATGTGATGGAGAGGGGCAGGACATGTGATGGAGAGGGGCAGGACATGTGATGGAGAGGGGCAGGGCATGTGATGGAGATGGGCAGAATATGTGATGGAAGGGGGCAGGACATGTGATGGAGAGAGGCAGGGCATGTGATGGAGAGGCAGGGCATGTGATGGAGGGGGGCAGGACATGTGATGGAGAGGGGCAGGACATGTGATGAAAGGGGGCAGGACATGTGATGGAAGGGGGCAGGACATATGATGAAGCGGGGAAGGACATGTGTTTGAAGCGGTGAAGGACATGTGATGGAAGGGGGCAGGACATGTGATGGAGAGGGGCAGGACATGTGATGGAAGGGGGCAGGACATGTGATGGAAGGGGGCAGGACATGTGATGGAGAGGGGCAGGACATGTGATGGAGAGGGGCAGGACATGTGATGGAGTGGGGCCTGATGGTACAAGACATACGGTCATGAGGCAATGGTGCTTCAGGAAAGTCTGAAGGAACTCACTCGTTTGCTAAGGCAGATGACAGGCCAGAGTGAACAGCCAAGAGTGCAACAGCAACACACACAGCCACAGAACAGCCACTTCACGTTCACTGGCAATGCTTTACGTAACACACTGTTGATGCGGGTCATTGTGGCCTTGAACTCCTCTGGAGCTACCTGGGAATATGCATTCAACACATGTCAGTTAGTGCTATTACCAGGGAATATGTATTTGACACATGTCAGTCTGTGTTATTGCCTGGAAATATGCATTTGACACATGTCAGTACTATTACCTGGGAATATGCAATCGACACATGTCAGTCTGTGTTATTCCCTGTGATCTACATATACTAACGGAAATGTGCTTCATATAAAGTTCAATAAACATGATAAAAATGAAATTATTCTGAAATCATTTGAAGCATCCTTCAATAAATATTCATGAAAACATCTTGATTTAAGGTCTTGATTCACAGTTTGCATGTGCGAGGCCCGCCAAGGAAGGGGGTAGACGGCATCTGAGGTTCAGAAGACTAGACTGGGGCAGCATAGTGTTCATAGATGCTGTCTTGCCTGTATCAACGCAAATGGTGGTCCCACCTGATATTGACATTGTTCATTGAGTTGTTACACCACTCCTCTTTTAGGGCGTGTCTCTCTGTCTCCTGTTGCCAGATGTGGGTTTTGTCCATGAATATGTTATGATAAGAGGATCAGAGGAATGACCAAATATTATGTTGTTATTTAACATAACATAACATTAACACCACTTAAGGTGATGCACAGTTACTTTTTTCTGTCAGAAAATAAACATGAACAACTTGAATATTGGTGGTACAACATGCCCTTGTACACATGTTGTAAAATATAAGTACAACATTCTATTACTCAAGAAATGTTAATACCACATGATTACTAAACAATGCCAAGAGATGTAACAAACATGATCAAATAATGTATGTTTCCAAACATATTTACCATAGCTAGCAGCCCAACAATCATGTCAGTAATAGTCATGGCAAATAGTAGGGATCCTACTTTACTACACAAGAAACTATGCAAGCTCTGACCTTTGCTGAAAGACCTTGTGGGAATTCTGTGTCAAATCGGTTGCTGAGCCCAAATCTGGAACATGTGGAATTTCAACAATTAAAAGAAGAAGGTACAAGAAATATTGTTTAGAAGATCAATAGAAATCTCACACACTGTGTAAATTACAATTCATACATGTATATGGCGCATTGAAAAATTGTCAGATCTCGAATAGTATTCGTTGTTTACAACCTTCTGAAACAAATATTTTTTTATTTTCCACGAAAACACAAAACAACATCATGAACATGGATCATTTTGATTCACTGAATAAAAGCCAACAGTATTTGTTGTATGAACCCCCCTCTTTGACAAAGAAATAAAGTTTGTATAATGTCAATATTTATCACATGACGCTGGAAATATCTAACACATGGCATGGGTTTGTGAGAATGACTAGTTGTAGTTGTACTAGTTTTAGTACAGCGTGTGACACTCAAGAGGGCAGCTCTCTCTCTTGAAAGTGTAGACAGACAGACAGACCGACAGACTAATATTTCTGAAGAAACATGCTTCTTTTAACTAAGATTGATGTTTCTGCTTTCTAATGAACTTCAATCTGAAACTGATCTCCAGTTTATTTGAATGGATTTTGTGCTTGAATTCATGAATAATTATTTATATTTGTTGTTACCTCATATTCATGAAGTGTATCATATACAACACTTTGACTTACTTTGTGTATTCGTTACAGCCATAATACTACTAGTAGACATGTAATTATTAGTTTCACACTAAACATGCTAAATGGCCTTGAAATGATCCACTATGGATGAAGCAAACCAGTGACTTAATTCTAGCAACAAACCACAGAAATCCACACCATCTGGGGACGCCGACACACATATAGTAAAAATGGCCCACTCTAAATACATTTATAACAAACATTATGTTCTATGTCTTTTTATTCATTTCATACCATACCTAGGACAGTAGTCTAATCATCAGCATCACATAGCATATCAGTTCATAGCACGAAGCGGCAGTTATTTCATTTTCTGACAGCAATAACAGAGATCCACTTTAGAGTACACTTTAGTTGAAACTGTGACAGGGGTCATTCAGATGAGCACAAACGGACAGCAACTCAGCTTGACTCAAATTTCCAAAAACTTAAATGTCAACACTGTCATCCAGGCATCGAGGAAGATGGAGAGGAGCTGAGGTGGGAAAGAGAGTTGGATTCACTGCTGACAATCTACAGATACTCCTGATAGAGATCCATCCTGTGCCACATGTCTCATTAATCCATTGCTTACAGGAGTCACACATCATAATGAACATAATGCAACTGATCTGCTTCCTCAATGTTTATACCCATCACTGTGTCACTGAGTCAATCCTATGAATATCGTCAATCACAATATCAAAGTACCCGGTTTGTAGTACAAAAGCACATTAGTAGCTTGATTAGTAAAGACAACACACAGGTTTCAATAAGATCAAAGTTAATGTGTAATACTTTGGATTAATAAATCAAACAGAGCAAATAAATAGAAACTGAGACCATTCACACTTTCTAGTTATACTTTTTCATGTGTCTTTTTAACTTTTGGTTTGTGGCAATTTTGACTTTTTGGTGAGCCATTTGGACTAGGGTGTTTGTGGCCATTTTGACCTGTTCCCATGTAGGTTCAATAGGGTTGGCTACCCCTCTCCGATAACAAACCTCTTTATGATCATTTGGATTAGTTGTGAGTGTTGGCATTGGTCAGCTATCTCACCTCTTTTAATTAACTCTATGTAATTTGAAGAAGATCCGTACAAGTTTTAGGAATTTCCGTGGAGAAAATGGCTACTGTACATACAAGATTGACATTGTGTGTTGCTCACAAGGTAAAAGAGCCCTAATTCTTTGTGGTCCCATGGTAAAGTGTTGGCAATTAGATTAACTCATTAGCATGATTAGCCTAGCTTACCTCTAATTTGGCTTAACACCGTAATCTGGACGCACCTTGCTGATTTCTAAAAATATTATTTATCTGAAATATAAGTCTAATGTGCTAGTTATTTAAGGGAACATGACTGCACATTAGCTGTTGGTCTGATGTTCAGAACAGTATTTCCAAACCAATGTGTCATGTGATTGTACATCATGGCCCGGGGTTTTCACAAGCTCCGACGTTCATATAATTGGCCCTCACTCTATGAAGGTTCATACTCCAATGAACTCACACAAAGTGAAGGTCAATTCTTAAAAGGAATAAAAACAATAGTTTGTAAATAAGACGAACAAACCAATGGCCGACAGAATGAGGAAAAACTGTGTCACAGGTATATGACCAGCAATCACTTATGTCACACACTGTAAACCTGTCAGCCTTCACAAATGTCAGATACCCCTTTACAATCCTTAGGCTCAGTTGTAAGTTAGAGTATGGGTTAGCTATCTCACCTCTTTTAATGAAGTAATTGTATGTAATCTGAGGAAAATGCTTACAATTATTATGAAGTTCTGAAGCTATGTGCATGAGCATGAAGGTCAACAACCGTGTGTTGATCACCATGATCACATGGTACTTATTATTTGTGATAGCACCCATGGTCCCATGGTTAAGTGTTGGTTAGTTAGAGAAAGGTTCAAGCTGGCAACGTGACTTCAATTCTTTGTGCGGTGTTAAGTGAAATCCTTGACCAGTGAAGTGCTTTACTCCCTTCTATTTTATTCAGATTGACTACAACACCAACTACTGTGGAAACAACATGAGAAAACATACATAGTGCCAGTGTTAGTTATAAGAGATATTTATTGAGTGCTGCATGTGTTGCAATATTTAGATATTCCTTGGCAAGAGAGAACATAAACAGGGAAATATTTTGTGGGGTATAAGTGTTGTACAGGCTGTTCCACAGTTGGGAATTGCAAAACCAATGTAGTGTTGTGATATTGCTCAAGTGTCAACCCATCTCCTCTCACGAAACTTGTTAAAGCAAGGCAATGCTTAGGCCTATTCAATGTGCGTGTCAGTGTGACCATGACGACCATTAATTTCTCAAACCAAAGATCAATGTATTTTATTATACATACATTTTATTTTTCATGACAAACATGATCGGCAAATGAGCATTTTCTTACACGAAATATTAGCTACACGACGCCAAGCACTGACACACACGTTTGTTTTCCATATTCGATCGTGGTTCTCGATTCACAGCCAAAACAGGTCCTTATCTCAAAACAACTTAGATCTGTATGGGCCCATCGATTAGGTTACGAAAATATCACTTACATAGTAACATTCCCTGCTCCCCGTATACTGATAGGGTTGGGAACGGTAACAACATAATCTTCTGGTATATCCTCGTCGTCTTCTTCTTCGTAAATGGTATCAAAGTCAGCCATTGTTTAGAACGTTCAGAACTCACAACACTGACGAGACGAAGCTTAACTTCCGGGGAGATAACTCTAACAGCACAATCTGGGCGCACCTTGCTGTGTGCCAAAGTTTTAAATAAATATTCATCCCAGATAATACTCTAATGTGCAAACGATTTACGATTGTATGTTAGCTGTAGGTCTGATGTTAAGAGCAGTGCTTTCGAAACCAATGTGTGATTTGATTGATATGTTCACCATGTTAAAAAAGAAATAGTGTTTTAGGTGTCGGTCTTTCCCTTCAGAGAACCACGCAGTGACGAGAAAATGTGTTGCAGTGAGCGAAATGTTGATTGCCCTGGGTCTTGTCTTCTTGGAACTAAATGGTACCAGTCCTAGCGATTCCTTTGGTGTGAGAGCATGCGTGGAAGACGGGGCGCCGAATCCCAATACTACAGATATGATAACGATAGTTCATGAACAATCTAGCCTGGATCAGGCAATTAAACCACTTGATGACAGAATGAGGAAGACGCGCGTCACATGTGTATGACCCACAATCACCTAGGTCAAACACTGTGAACCCGTTAGCCTTCACCGGTGTTAGCCTGCTTTATACATCGAGTGTGGGCCTAGATATGAAAGAGAAATGTCTGGAAAAATAAACATATGAGAAAACAGCTCTTCTTTCGTATGTTTGTTTATGCCATGGCTATGTTTGTGAGTTGTTCGTCGATCACAGAATTTCAACACAAATTTAAACAAGGCCATATGAAAGATGTAAGTCTCCAATTCCAACTGGACAAGAAGCCTTATATAGACTGTTCTTGGACATGTGTGCCATTATGTGTCACACAAATTCTCTGCATTTCACCCCCTAATGAAGTTTTGAGCTGTATTCATGCCTCATTTTCAACAGGGCTACCAAATGAACATCTAAAGTCTATCAATGTCTGATGTAGCATCTATGGATATGATATCCGCACAAAGGCCAACCATATTTATCACATGGCTACTGTGTGTGACAAGGCTACTCTGTGTGACATGGCTTCTGTGTGTGACATGGCTACTGTGTGTGACATAGTGATACTGTGTCACATGGCTACTGTGTCACATGGCTACAGTATGTGACATCGCTACTGTGTGTGACATGGCTACTGTGTGTGACATAGTGATACTGTGTCACATGGCTACTGTGTCACATGGCTACAGTATGTGACATCGCTACTGTGTGTGTCATGGCCACTGTGTGTGACATGGCTACTGTGTGTGGCATGGTTACTGTGTGACAAGGCTACTGAGTGAGTGAGTTCGGTTTAACACCGCTTTTAACAGTATTACAGTTATATCACGGCGTGTCAGCTTAATGTGGGAGGAAAGCCCGAAGTGATGCATGTCTCAGACGTTTACCACTTCGGTGAAACCCACTAGCACAGGTATGGTATTGACAAACCTAGAAACATAAACGGGGCGAACCGGGATTCGAACCCACAATCATAGGTTTCTGGCGCGCCCAAGGGACGCAACTCTGCACAGCGAATCGCGGCGCCTTAGACGACTGGGCCACCCGTGCCCCCTGACAAGGCTACTGCGTGTGACATGGCAGTAGTGTGTGACAAGGAGACTGTGTGTGACATGGCTTTAGTGTGTGACAAGGCTACTGTTTGTGACAAATCATACAAAATGGACATTCCTCAAGTCCGCGCGTCAGTGAATCCGCACGCTTGTTCTGATTAACGCAGCAGACTTAATAAAAATTGCATATTAGTAATGTTGACCACGCCCTGAGGGAAATACATATCACATTCCTCCACTTCCGCGAAGACGTCATGTGGGGAAATATGCGGCCCAGGAGGATGCCATCAGTAGGTCACGTTAATATCAGTATTGCTGTACACACTTCGTGAAGGATATGTCTGTAAACAAATAGCTGGGATATATAGCGCTGATCTATCGAACAGCGAAAATAAAACATACTTCTTTAACTTCTTTCACTGTGACAGCTCAGTAAACTAAACAGGGGTGTGTGACCTTTGGAAAATGGACACAGGAACGCGCAGAGATGAAGTACTTGCAGAAAAATATGCTTAACGCCACCCATGAAGATATAAGTACAACTCAAGGGAAGGATGTCCTACCTGTTCTCCCCTAAAGAGGCGGGCAAGATGTCATCGACACATTATGTTTTACAAAGTTATGGCCATGTTTTTTCATAACATTGTGTACAGTACTGTCAAGTTCCCCGAAACCACAAAAGATGACGTTACATACATCAAGTGATGACTATGTTATCGAGTTTGACGACCGCCACCAAGAATTGATATTTGAACGAGCTGTGGCCCGCGTTTTTTTTTCTGTTTTTGCGTTGCACAGGTAGTGTTCATTTCAAGAGCATAACTTACATAACGCTTCCTATATCTCCTTGAAACCCATGCACATCAGGCAAGTGTTGAACTGGTGCCTTATATGTTCTGACATTTTTCGTTCAAATTGTTTTTTTTTCTTGTGCCAACCCATCTTCCCGAGGCAAGAGAGTTAACTGGCTATAAAAGTCCAGTTTCCACCCTTGCCGAACTAGGCTGGTGTTATGGTGTTACATTTTGGCTGGACTGACGAGTCTATGCATAGTCCAATCAAAATCGCGCACCGAAATCGAAATCCGGTTCGTAATCTGTCGTGCAGATTTCGATCGATTGCAGGATTTGCACAGCATCACAACCGCCAACTTGTTTTCAGCAGATATTTTCCAAATCTTTTCATGTTTTTAATCAAGATGCTCACGTGATTTGATGTCGCGATGTAAGACCCGTTTTATCACAGTATAGATCTTGTTTATCGATCAGATCGTCCTGACTGGGCGCCACCATTTTGTGTGAAGCAAACGCAAGTGATACGAGGGGTGGAATCTGATTGGTCCATAGGAGAGGTTTAGAAGGGACATAACTGGTAATTGCCACTGGTGGCACTACGATCGAGTCCAGTAATTCCAGCCTTGTTCGGCAAGTGCGGAAACTGGACTTTTTAAGTCAGATTCTTCTGATTGGTCGGTTTGGTCATGTGACCTCTGATGACGTCATTTGACATGCGCAGGGCATTGTGGGTCATGCGGGCGCATCCAAGATGGCGCCACTTCCGTTTCCGGTGGCGCGCGCATCCAAGATGGCGGCATGTCCGTTTCCATGAGGCGTGCGCACCTCTAAGATGGCGGCACGTCCGTTTCTGAGGGGCCATCTCCCCATCCAAGATGGCGGTACGGCGCCTCCAAGAGGGTAGGAGGAGAGAGGGCGGGAAGGCGGGAGGGGAGGGAGGGAGGCGGTGGCGGCGGCGGAGGAGGGGGAGGGAAGCGGCGGCGGCGGCGGAGGGAGGAGGAGGAGGAGGGAGACGGGGGAGGGTGTGGCAGGGTGTGTGCGTGTGTGTGTGTGTGTCGATGGCATGTGGAGATGATAGATCACTGAGACGAACTTATAAAAGTTATAATACACAGTCGATGACCCTGCCACTTTGTTGCTAGGTTGACGTCATATCGGCGAAGGATCTTGCAACAACATGTCACAAATCATGTCATCGGGTATGATGATGTGATTGTAAACTTTGAGGTGCAAGGCTTCGTTCCACAAGGCGATCGTGTATTGTAGCCCAATATGACAGCTGTTCGTCTAAGTTACAGTAGGTGAGTGGCGATCACCTTAGCGCTACGATCATGGTGTGGAACGGACGCCTGAATTCTAAAGGTGAATCGGCATGCACAGACATGAACGTGATGTAGGTATATGCCTACGTACTGTTACTCGTGTCTCCATGCAAAACGTGGTGTCACGCGTGACTACAAACAGACTTTTATAAATATGATTGAAATTTATACCGAGGAGTCGGTACTCGTGTATGTTTACATGCGTACTGTCATTCGTGTCTTCAAACAGACGTGATGTACTTCATGTCTTCATGCAAGCGTGATGTACTTCATGTCTTCATGCAAACGTGATGTACTTCGTGTCTTCATGCAAACGTGATGTACTTCGTGTCTCCATGCAAACGTAGTGTCATGCGTGACTACAAACACACGTAGAAGTATAGATCGATACACATGCGTGACGTTTGCAAACGTGATGTACTTCGTGTCTCCATGCAAACGTGATGCCACTCGTGTACACAACCATACATACACACATGTGGACTCCATGACGTCTTGCATGTTACTAACGATGTGATCAGACTCCATCCCGTGTTTGGGCTGACTGACACACGACAGCGGTGGTGGAGGTGGTGGTGGTGCTGATAAGCCATGCACGTGTTTTTTATGCATAAGTAAGACATCTCTTCTAGAAAATGTCTTACCACAGTCTGAACACCATGTGGACTCCATCACGTCTTACAAGGCAACTGATCTTTCAAGCATGGCCTTTCTCTTTTATCTATTTTTTAAATTTTATTCTTTACCTTTACAACGAGCATGTGCACTGACATGACAGACAGACAGACAGACAACATCTCAACTCAGCCTCTACCCTCGGTTCGGCATCCTATTGGAGTTGAGATCAATCAAGACACAAAGAGTCAGTTCAATTTATCCCTGTTTAACGATGACACCTAACACACTTCAACTTAGATACAGGGCAAACAATGCGAAACAATGTGAAACCATGCGGACAATGCGAAAAAGTGGATGACAACCTTCGTCATCGTCATCACACAGGTAGCCTGCTCAATGTTGCAACGAGTGCTGCTGTTGCTGCTGCTTCTGTTGGTGAGGGTGTTGCTGCTGCAGCTGCTACTGTCGCTCTGTATAGTGCTGAGATGAGTTCTGGTGCTGCTGCTGCTGGTGAGGGTGTTGTTGCTGCTGCGGCTGCGTGGAGTGTGTCGAGGAGTTCTGTTAGTGAGGGTGTTGCTGCTGGTGCTTCTGTTGCTGTGGGGGTGGTGGCTGCCGCTGCTGGTGCCACTGCTTGTGCCACTGGTTTTGCTGTGGATGCTGTTGATGAGGGTGCTTCGATGCCCTCACACCTGCCGCGCATTGCGTCATCTGTAGTGCATTGATGAATACTTTTAGTGAGGGTGTTGTTGCTGCGTCTGCAGCTGCATCTT